AAAAAAAAAAAAAAAAAAAAGGAAAGACAAGAAAGAAAATAAAAAATAAGATAAACTCACCTTCCCCAATCAACAAAACCCGATCCTTCTTCCCAAACGGGACGATCGGCCGCTGCTGCTGCGACGGCTTCTTCTGCGGCTGGTTCGACTTGGGAGTCACATCACCATGACCATGATTACTATTTTTATTACCGCCGCCTTTACCTTTAGCCTGGGACGAAGGCGCAGTCGTGGTAGACAACCTGGAAAAGGTATTCATTTTGCGATTGCCCGCTTTGGGATGCGCTGCTGCATCTTTGGAGGAGGAAGAAGAAGGAGGGCCTTGCACCCGTGGTTTTTTGGATTTGATCTTGGGCATTGTGTGCGGCTGGTTTGCTGTTTCTGCTGGAGAGGGGGGTAGATAAATGGATGGATAGACAAGATAAATGTATAGATCAATAGATAAATAGAAGGAAGGGTGGATGAATGATAAATGGATGAGGTTTGAAAATGTCTTCCTTCTTTCAAAGTAGGAGTCGTACCGTACCGTAGGGCCTAAGTCTAGGTAGGTCCAGGTACCTCCTTACGCTACTTACCTACTTAGGTAGGTACCTATAAAAGAATATGAAATAAAAAAAAAAGAATATCAAATATAAGGGACCTTCGAGACAAAAGTGAAATCCGTCTGTCAACTTAAGGTTTCAACTGATTTTTCTGGATTTTCTTTCTTTTCGAGCCCGACCAATCGGAGTGCAGCTTTGGATTTAAAATTGCTTATCGATCTGTATCGATCCTTTGTGCCAAGGTATATACAGATACCATTATGTTGAAAAACTATATATCCATGTCAATACTCCAATTGAAGAAGAAAGACCTTGGTGAAAATCATATTAAAGAAGTTACGTATAGGATAAATACAATACAGTATTATAATCCTCGCTTGCAATGATGCCAAGGCGGAAAACTTTCTTCCACATCAGACAAGTCGGTTGTATATATCTTGACTGTGATGGTCCAGACAAGCTGTCATTTCACTCCTCTTGCCCTTCCCATTAAGTGGAAAAGGAGAGAAAAATAGTATGCATACGAAGCGCAATCGCGCCAGGTCGTGAAAAAGGACCAGAAGAGTTAGTTCCCATGAGGATCGATGCGAAGATAATGTACAGCCGCCAACACCTGCCAAAGTCAAAGATATACTATAAGGAGATAATAAAAAAAAGAGAAAAGACCAAAAAATGAGATTCCAGCGTCATCCGGTCGAGCAAGTCCGACCAGAGGACTTCGGTTGCAATGAAACATGCGTCACATATCACATACAAGGTTGGAAGGTTTCTGCTCTTGGCGAGACAGTAAAGCGAAATGATGCCCCGGGCGCTGAGCGATCAGCAAGCTGACCTGGCTCGGCGACCCCTTCCACGCGACACCATCCGGAATGAAACCAACCTGGTGGAATGGTTTACGAACGCAGCGAGTCTCTCATACTCTGGCTGCTGGCGCTGACAGGGTTGGATGTGGGTAACATGCCAGTCCTGGGCTTCGCGTTCTGCTTGATCTTGGCGACGGCGTAGACGATACCACTAACGAAACCGACGAAGATGGCCGACACGCTGGGGAACGTCACAGGGGCATCGAAGAAGACCAGTCCCGATACCGCGATGGGCAGTTTGTTGAGAGCGCCAACCATGGAGTAAGTGGTCGAGGAAGTCACACGAACGCACCAGGCGGAGGTGTACGAGATGAACACGGACGACAGACCAGACAGGATCATCGCAAACAGAATGTTGTTACGGTCGGCAGGAGGGAAGTTGCGGGTGATGTTGGCGGACGACCAGTCTTCCATAAAAAAGGTGCACACAAGCAGAACAGGAATGGACAGAAGGTTGTTGTAAAACATGGCTAGTAAATTAGTTAGACGAGTCTGGCATTAGGGGGGTGGATTCCGGAAGGAATGCTGGGAAGGGGCGCATACTGTCAAAGTCCTTGAAGTTGGTCAACTTGATCCTCTTGCGCATGCCAAGGACGTAAGACGACGTGCAGAGACAGTTGACCAGCATCCAGACGTATCCAGCATTGAGCGTGGAGACCTTGGCGGTCGCATCGGCACTGCTCTCCACGGCATGCTTGATATCGGCCCACGCGGCGATGAGCGAACTGAAGACCATGAGACCGAAAGAGAAAAGGGTGAGTCCAGAGACGGAGCCACCGAACCACAGCACTTCTCCATAGGCAATCAAGATAATGGTCAAGTTCTTGAAGATGGTGTACACCGGAATGGAGAGAAATTGAAGCGCCTTGGAGCCGGTGTAGATCATGCCAATCAGGAGTAAAGTGATGGGGAACCCTAATCAAGCAAGGACAACGGTCAGCCAACTCAGCACACAGGGACCAAAAAAAAAAAAGAAAAAAAAAACAAAGGTGACACCCACACTTCCTCGCCTCATCCGGGCTGAAATTGCGGTAGGTGATCAAACCGCTCGTTTTACATGTTTGAATCGCTATGATGCAGACGAGAGACTAAGCATCCAACGCAACTCGTGTCAGCGCGGCTCCACACACAAATCCATCCCATGTCGCAACCACCCAACCCAAACATACCTGAATGCAAAGGAGAAAGAAATTGAGGTTGAAATCGGTGCCAGAAAGGACGTATTTATTCATGACCGTCATCAAGATCGACGACCCGCAGTATGCCAACACAGGCAGGATAGGGCTGTTGTTGTTCGCAAGGGTCGAGGTGCCCCTAGGTTGAGGCGGGGGCGCAACGGGCTCGAAGCTCTTGTTCTGCTCTATCTTGTCCATCTCGATGGTGTAGTCGTCTGTTTTCTTTTCGTCGACCATCTTGACGGTTGCTGGCTCCGCTTACGAGGGGCGGAGGGGTTTCGAAACAGGTGGATAAAAATGGAGGATGGGAATATAAGAAGGGCGGGACAAGCCGAGGCCGACGATCTAGAGAGCCCTGGGGCTTGAAATGCGCAAAGCTGGCTAAGGACTGGGGGCGCGGTGCGCCAGAGGAGGTGCGCGAATGCCCTGAACGGAGGGAAGGCTTCTAGAATCAAAAGGGGAAGGAGATAAAGAAGTCACTAGTGGGCCAGCGAATGTGTTCAAAACCGAGGGTTGAATCTCCCAATCGGGGCAAACGAGACGAAGACCGGAGAGACGAAGAGGAGGAGAAAAGAGAGAAGAGTTCAAACCGAAGATGAACCCAACCAGGCGAGAAAAATGAAAGGAAAGCCGACAGGAAAAAGAGAGAGAAGGAAAGGATGAATCGCAATCAAAGGAAAACAGATGAAGGAGAAAGATCCAGCCGGAAACCATGGGCAGAATCCTCCACCGCCCTGGCCGGAAACGGCTGTGGTCAGTTACAGGGGCGGTATTTCTGTTGATTACCGGTATTTGTGTTACGGCATGTTCCACCTTTCAAGTGGGCGACAGGGGCACGTTGTATTACGCCCATAGTCTAGACTCCCGTAGATCAACATCTTACCGGTAACGGACCGTCACAGAATCCGTGTACCGTACCTGTGACTGCAAAAAACGTGTAATTTCACTCCACTCCCTCCTTAAATCTATAACCAACGCAACCCGCGGGACAGTCGACGAAAGACTGGCACCACCAAGTGAACTCATTGGCTCTTCGCTCGACAAGCGTCTGCCTTAATAACCACAATCCTCACGGGGTGATCAATCTATCACCTCCCACCCCCATACACCCAAACAGAACTCGCACTCAAGACACACACAGAGAGAGCTCAAACGAAAATGACCACCAAACAAGCCCCCCGCGACCTCGACGGGGACCTCACGCAAGAAGACGACGCCGCGCTCTTCGCCGCGCTCGAGAACGAAGACGACTCACTCTACCGCGCACAACGCATCGAGCAGCTCAACGCAGAACTGGCCTCGGCGCAGCACGCGCGCCCCTCCGGCCCGACCACCATCGTCGAAGACGGCCTCCTCCCAACCATCGAAACCGACCAGGCCCTGCTGAACTTCACGACGCAGATGAACCGGTGCGTCATCCACTTCGCGCACCCGGATTTCACCCGGTGCAAGACGATGGACGAGCACATGCGGACGCTGGCGGCGCGGCATCACGAGGTGCGCTTTGCGCGGGTGGATGTGCGGAATACGGCGTTTGTGGTGGAGAAGTTGAAGATCAAGGTGCTGCCGTGTGTGATCGGGTTTCGGGATGGGATTGCCGTGGAGCGGGTGATTGGGTTTGAGGGGTTGGGGTCGGGGGGGCGGGATGGGGCTGATGGGATTAGTACGGCTACGTTGGAGAAGCGGCTGCTTTGGAAGGGGATTCTGACGCAGTCGAGGGTGAGGGAGAGTGAGGTTGGGGAGGAGTCGTCTGATGGGGGGAGTGATGTTGAGGATGAGAATCAGAGCAGACGGAATGGACGGGGCGCGATTCGGAGTGGGGGGATGAGGCATCGCCAGATCAATGACGACGATGATGACGATGATTGGGATTGAGATGCCTGTGGGATTGTCGACGGGTGCGCGAGGCTACCATATGGATGTGGTGGTGGAGAGAGGGGGCAAAGCGATATCCTGTACCTGCGGACGGTACTCCCCCCCCCCTGGAATGGACACGCCCGGGTGAACCGACCTGCGCGGCGATATCTGGACCCAGTCGCTGCATTTCCGACCCCGTGGGTACTTGCGGGCAGTATCTGCTGCTTGAGAGCATACCCATTCGACGAACATGCGACCGGTGCACAGAGCTTCCTGCGCCATGCGGTCTGTTGGTTGCAATATACTTCACACAATTCCTGGTCTAGATTTGCCAGGGGTCATGTATATCTACGTCACGACCTTGGTCGCACTGATACCAATGATAGACTCAAACGATGCGTTGTATCCATACTGTAGCTGTAGCTATAACCTGTAAGACAGTAACCAGGGGAACTCTCTTCTCTACCGAGTACTGCGGATTCTATATCCGACCTACTTCAAGGACAAGAAGACATGCTGAATGATCATTGGTAAAGTACAGGTGTTGAGAGACATGTGCCATCCAGGCAGTGAAAAAGTGCCCCTCCCGCAAACAATAAGGTACGGTAAATGCTACACGAAACAAAGTGCATGATGTTAGGAATTTATACAAGCGGATCCGACCGGTCTTCACACAAATCCATCAACCCAATATAGGCGCCAATGCGGATATTAAGAGTCACAAAATAGGAGAAGGAAAAGGAAGAAAAGGAAAAGAAAACAGAACAAGAACAACGGAGCTCTCTTCTGCGCCAGACAAGCAAAGGGGTCGATCATGATCATTCCCGCGTCGACGGCAATTTAGAAAATCGAGGGCGCCCCGACTAGATGGCTACATTCTTCATTTCTCCCAAGACTTCCGTGTCGCTTGTGGCCGTTGTCGATCCGGGGTTCGAGTCACGTTTCTGTCCTTTCTCCGTCTCCGTGGGTTTCTGCTCGCTTCCCTTCTCCGGAACTCCTTCGTTCTCTTTCCCCGAGGACGGATCGGGGGTGGTCACTTCCATCAGGTCTTCACCCTGGGGCTCCTTGGGCTTCTCCTGGGAGGGACCGGCAGGGAGCTCGGTGTCGGGAGTCGGGTTGACCGGACTAGGCGCTTCTTCCGTGACTCGGGCAAGAGGACTCGAGATTCCAAACTGGGTCTTCGGACTTTGAGTCGAGCCGCGATTGGGGAACCGGTGAGGCGACCTGCCGCGCTCTTCGCTGGGCCCCGGGCTGCCGTAAGGGGAATCCTTGCCGGATTTGCCGGCCGTGCTCAGCCCCAGGCCGTTGGGAGCCTTGCGGCGAGGGGGGCGGCGGCCATACTTCTGGTCCGTTCTCCACCGGAGGATCTCCAGATACGGGGGCTCCACGTTCTGCGCCTTGAACTCCAGAAGCTTGAGCTCGTTCGTGTCTTCGTCCACGTGGACCTTGCCGCTGCAGAGATCATCGGCAAACACGGCCAGGAAGGCGGCCCAGGATCGCGCGACGACGTATTTGCAGTCGTAGTCGCGACCGAAGATGATGACCTGCCCCCATTTGCCCGCAGGGCCCGGCGCCAGATCGATGGCGATGTGGTTTCCACCCCAGTCGCGGGCCACCGGGATCCAAGCCGGGTGAGCATAGGCCTTCTGGATGGCACCGGGGGGCTGCGACTCCTGGCGCTCCAGGAGATCCTGCCTCCACAGCGGATTGGATCCTTGAGTGGTGGGCACGGCCGACGACGAGGAGCCGGCCACCGCCTTGGGGAGGGGAGGATTCGATATCTCCGACGAGCCGAAATACTCCTCGTTGACGATCCTCCAGTTCTTCCACTCCTGCACCATTTCCTCGCAGTCGAGAAGCATGCAACCGAATATGACACCGGTGGGGACGCCAGGCCGCTCCTGGCCGTCGTGGACCATTAGGGACTCACGCAGTTCGAGGGGAAGACTGCAGTCGAGGTCGTGTTCCAACTCGTTGATATCGTTCTGGGTGCACCCTTCGCAAAGGTTGTCGAAAAGTTCCTCATAATTGCTCTCCAACCAGCGCTCGATCTTCCTCCATGAGTGGGCCACCGGCGGAGGGGGCGGAGCGCCATCGTGGAAGCTCTGCATCTGAATCTCCCCGGCACCATCCGTCCCGGGATCGGTTGATCTCCGTTTCTGCGAGGAGACCGATCGCATGCCGGGGGAGTAGGGGCGGTTGGGGGAGCCGATCGCGGTAGGAGACCCGGACCAGCCATTGGAAGTCGAGTTCGTGGGGTCCTTGGGCTGATTTTCCTCATAAGGATCGGTAAGGTCTGGTCGCGATTCGATGGCGCTGGTGGCAATGGAGGTGAGAGGTTCATCCCGACTTTGGCTGAGAGGGACATGCCTCCCTGTGCGGTAAGGTGAATCGTGGGACGCGTGCCGATCATAGGAGGTCATCGCATGCCAGAAGGAACGCCATGCTCCACCGATGCTGTGTTGAGAGTAAGTAACGGCCTTCCATCCTTGCTCTGATGTCTGATGAGGGAGACATTCGTGGTCCTAGGTAGAATAGGGCTAAAATAGTGAGGGGGGGGGGGTTACTTACGGGTTCGCCATGGTCAGGAACTAAGCACAATGGCTAAAGGGAAGCAGGAACCCAAAGTTCTCCAGGACTTTAAAAACACCGACGGGAGGTCATTGACCAAATGTAACAGAGAGACTGGGGGAAGAAGGTGAAAAGAAAGAATAGAGAGAAGCGAAAGGGATGTGGAATTGAAGACAAGTGGTTGCAAGGGGAAGGTTGAGGAAGTGGATAACTCTAGCAGATCAAGGGAGTCGGGAAGGAGAGTTGAATCTGGGACAATCTTCCAAACGAGGGAAAGAGAGAGAGAAAAAAAAAAGGAGAAAACGAAACACGAATAGAAAAGAAAATAAAAAAAGGAAGAAGAACAAATGGACAAAGAAGGGCGAAAGGGAGAAGTGGGGAGGAAAGTCCAAAAAAAAAAAGAAGAAGAAAAGGGACTGATAAAACGAGACTCCGAAGAGGAGGAAGGAGGGGAATGGATGGGAGAGGAAGAATAATGGAGATTGGTCGAAGTATGTGAATCCTGATGATCTGAACTTGCGGACTTTTCGGCCGGAGAAAGAATCAACGGGCGGGAAGACTGCGGTGGATTAAGTTCAGCTGTGGCTGTTTAAGTGGGGGGAAGAAGAAGAAGAAGAAGAAGAAGAAGAGGAAGAGAAGAGAGAGAAGAGAATGAGGAGAGAAGAAGGTGAAGTTCAGTCTTGACCCCTGGGAAGGCGCCTGGAACCAGGGATGGGGATACGGTCTGGTTCCTGGTACGGTAAGATCGTCAACCTCTTTCTTTCTCTTGATATATCGCTCTCTCACAGGACGAAGATGGACAATTAAATATTCCCAATACATTAATGATAATTATAGAAAAGAAAAGAAAAAGAACAGGAAAAGAAATCCGAAGAAAAGAATTCACCAGGTTAATCGGTATGTATTCTATCGTGTAAAGTTCTCCATTCCTTCGTTACATCACTCTATACAAAGGCCGTTCTGGTTTTGGTACTTGACTCCCTTACCTGATCATTGCCTCCAAACTCACGAGAAACTGTAAAGGTATCACCACCATCGTCATCCTCACCATTTGCATAAACAAACAAACAAATACTCCCCCCCCCCTCCCAATGATGACATACTTGCCTGATGCAACGGCATGGAGAATATTCTCCAGTGGCAACCCCCACCCGCATTGGGTCTTGGACTGCATTCTTTCCGCGAACGGCAGTGCAGTCAGTCAGCTGCGGTTTGAATTCAAAACGTATGGACGGATGGATCTATCTATACGTATCTCTTGAGGATCATTCCCCTGTAATCCAGATGTCATCATGATATCATTCGCTGCGGGCGTGTTATACACTCGCTCGAGAACAGCTCGAGTAGAGATACCATGTGAAAATATGAAAATATCGAGACATCCCCATGTCTTTCTCAAAGATGGGGAAATATTGACCGTCAAGCTGACCATACCGGACTGACAGACCGTCTGTCCACTCCATGACCGATCGCGTGCACATCAAACAATACCCTTCTAGCTCCTCAAGCCAGAAGTAACAAGGACAGTCCAGCGTGCCCCGTCCATAATATCCACCAGGAGAGTCCGACCTAGCCAGAGGATTGACAACCAATGGGGGCCACTCCACCAGTGTCGGAAACTTTCCTTGACCGGTAGTGGCGGTCCCCTTTAATATCGACTAGATGCATATTGTTATTAGGAACCGTAGCTCATCTCCTGTCAGCTGGTCGAATACATACATTTTCCTATCCCTGTAGGTTCAATAGAGTCGATTGAATCAGAATTTGGTTGTACTCCATATTCATACTCCTTTTTTATCCTGTATTTTGGACCACCAGATTACTGTAGTATGGTTTTAGTTGCGCGCCGGCGTATCTCGCAGTACAGCTGTGGGGACCGATGGGGAATGCGCTCGGGAACTTCTTGACTAAATCCGCCTGAAGGTTCTGGACTCTTTACCTTACACAGGCTGTATTGTATATTACACAATACACAATAATGGTCTAAAAAAAAAAAAAGGATAGGTACTAAGATAGGTCGAATGAATGTATTCAAAGGATTACAATCCTTATGTTAGGTATGGAATAGGATGGGCAAGCATCAGAATCAGGTAAGAAGGTAAGAATGTAGAGAGCGAGCGTGAATGGAGGTCGGTTGTCAACAGGGGACGGACGTGAACGAGAAAATAACATCAATAAAACTAGCCTCTCCCATGGCCATCATAAGATGGGACCAGGAATCGGAGATAAAGGAATGTGATCAAATGGCAAGACGGATCAACGCAACAGGGAAAGGACAAAGAGGGAAGATATCAGGAAGTCAAAGATACGCCTCAGCAATATTCACCCAGACACATCCCAGTCAGCGCACTCCGACACACACCCTGACACGCAACCAAAACTCCAGATTTGATGCAAAGAGAAGGTAAAAGTCATCCCCGCTAATGCACCACTGAAGATCAGATAAGAATAGCTTGCTGCAAAAACACAAAGAACCTGGTTCTCAAGAACCCCGAAGAGTGACAAAGACTGTAAAACGAATGAACGCTTGCAAAGCTTCAAGAGGTACCATCAACTTATCCTGAAATAACTCAACATGTCATCCCCAAAAAATCAAATAGCGTGCATAACTGATGTAAAGACAACAACTTCGAGCGCTGTCACTGAGAGCGTTCAGGCGTAAGAGCTTTGGATGCCGGGGGATGCAAAACCAGGGTTTGCATCAAGCTTTAGGATCTTCCGCAGATCATCCTCCATCTTCTTTGTGTCCAGCACCTGGGGTGAGCCCACCGGGTTGGATCGCGCAGGCGAGGATTGGTGGCGAACAGGGGCGTGCGGTGTATAATTACCCGGAGACCGGGTGTTATCGTAGGGAACATGTGTTTGGCGAACGTTCTCTTTGGGTGTCCCTCCATTGACTCTAGGGCCGGGCGAGGGAGCTCCTTTCCTCGGTGCCGGGCTATGAAAGCGGACTTGCTGGGGGGTGCCGGAATGTGCGTAGTTAGGCCGGGGATAGAACGAGTTCGCAGTCATAGACTGATAGTTGTTGCGTGCCGCATCAGGAATCGGGCCTGGCGGGCTGGATGTCGTTCTGAGAGGTGTGGCAAAATGAGGGACGCTGAGATTGGCATTCGGGTGTTCCTTCGGGCGCTCAGCTGGACCTTGAGCCAAAGGCGACGCGGACGACGGTCTTTGAGGACGCGGATTAAGGAGTAGGGTCTTCAGAGCCTCGGTTTTGGCCTTTCTTTGACCATCATCAAGGTCGACTTCGGCCGACGGAGGAGAATTGGTGGCCCGCATGGCGTTCATACGGTCTTTGTAAGACGGAGCAAACGAGGGCCCAATCTGGGAGGAGCGTGGCTCTGGGCTTCCCATATCGAAAGGGAATATCCCATTAGATGAGTCATTAAAGCCACGCTGTCGCAACGTTTTGGAATCTGTCTGAGGAGACCGAATCCGAGTGTGAGTGTTTGCTTCGGGACTGCGCTGTGGTTGCACATTCCTGGCTTCGACTGCCGCCTTGAAGAGAAAATCGAGAGGAGTGGACTCCGGCTTTCTATCCTGTACTTGAGGACGTGGCTTGGGCTTCGACGGAGTAATCTCATAGTCGGGCTCGGCATCCGGATTTTCGGCGTCGGATTCTAGTGCTGGCGCGAGGTCGGATTCGGGAAGAGACTTGGAAAAGAAGCTCGGGATCGGGAGCGCGGAGGGAGCGGGAGACGCATGGAATGTAGGGCCTGCGTAATGCGGACTGTCCCTTGGAGGAAGAATTGCGTTGCCATTATTATTATTGGCCGTATTCGAACTGACGTGCCGATGGCCATTGACTGGTGCCGGGGACGCTTTGATGAATCCCTCTCGCGGTTTCTTGGTGGACCTGCCGTTCTTTTTCTTGGACATATTCACATTAACAGAAGAGTCGGTAGCTGTCCCCCCTGGACTCATGTTCCTCGGAGGTGAGGACGGAGGTGTCGATAGAAAAGTGTTCTTCTGTGTGGAGGGAGTGGCATTCCGTTTGGGAGTGCGTCGGTTGTTGCGAGGACCCTTAGGAGTCAGAGGAGTAGGTGATTGGGTCGACATGACGACTGTTTGGCTTAAAAAATAGGCAGCCTTGAAGTTAATATAAAAAAAAAAAAGAATAGAAAGATGCAGAAAAGGTAGAGATAAGAATGAAGATGATGCCAAAGGCTGTACGAGTGACAAGTAGGCTGTCGAATACTGCCCAGCAGCTTCCCAACTTATCGATAGTTCAAAACCAAATATAATAGAAAAGACGGGAAACAAGAAGGCAAAGCAAAGCAGAGACGCCGGACTTCGCACGAGCAAGGGTCAGAGCAAATATAGTCGATTCAAGAATAGCAAGCTGGTGAAAGCAAAGGGTTTCATGTATGACTGGAATCAAAGCGAAGGATCGAAAGGCGAGAAACCAGAACTCCTGGGCATGCTTATATCTAGATAGGCGAACGGAGTGAGAGAACCGAAAGAATCTGAAGGAGCATGGTAACTGTAGGAGGAGATGAAGTCTGAAGATGGTGAAGACGATGGTCGAAGTTGAGGTTATTGCTCGTGGTGTGTAGAGAGTTCTAGGATAGTGAAGCTGGCAGGGTGGAACAACTCACAAAGGCTGGGGATGACTGAGGTTAAGCGGGGGTTTACGGATGACTAACCGCTCAGTCATGGGCAGCCACGCCACTTCAGTCCCGCCTCGTTGGGATCATCAAAACAAGGCGCAGTAGGTGCTCCCGCGGTACTTGCTTCCATTGTTAGGTATAAGATATTCAAGTGGGCCTGGTGGGTTTCTCCATAAGCTCTCGTTGCCTCCCTTTCCCTTTCTTGCCTTTTGCCTAGAACGTTGACTCAACGTTTAAGTGCTCTCTCCGTTCTGTTCTTGGGCGAATACTTACGTCAGACGCCGTGCCAACCAGGTACCCAAAGCTAGCTCCTTGTCTCTTTGTGTCGACACTTCCGTCTTTCCACACTCTCCTTCCTTTCTGACAACCCTGTCGTCGAATTACGTGGACACCGGTCTCTTCAATAGTTCCTGACGATCAATCACCAGCTCAAAGATGACGGACGTGGAGATGAAAGAAGCGGCCGGAAGCTCCGACAAGGCCAAGGCTGTGTCGAAGGCTTCAGAAGGCACCAGTGACGGCAAGAAGCGGTTTGAAGTCAAAAAGGTAGGGAGATGATTCGATCCGTGTCACCAGGTCTTTGTAGTGCTGACGAATCTGTCAACAATGAAGTGGAATGCGGTGGCGCTTTGGGCCTGGGATATCGTCGTGGACAACTGTGCGATTTGCCGGAACCATATCATGGATCTATGCATCGAATGCCAGGCAAACCAGGGTTCCTCTACAACCGAAGAGTGTACTGTTGCTTGGGGTATCTGCAACGTGAGTCATTTTCTACGATCCCGTTCAAACCGTATGCTAATCCGAGGACTTCTTCGCAGCATGCGTTCCATTTCCATTGCATATCTCGCTGGCTAAAGACCCGTCAAGTATGCCCGCTGGACAACCGGGATTGGGAATTCCAAAAATACGGCCGCTAAAACACCGAGCGAAGGTCTCCTTTCAGAGTGGCTATGCGACTTCCGCTTGGACTCTAAAAGCAAGCGGATAATGACTGGGCCGGCGTTTGAGGCTTTCTTTCTTTTTGTTCTTTGTTCATGTTCTACAGGAATTTCACTCCATGATCTGAGTCGTATAGATGAAAACGGACAGGGGTAATGCTTCCCGCGCAGAGTTTCATTCTTTGGATAACTGGGACACCAATGATCCGATCCGCATCTCATGCAACTCTCACCCCATCTACCACCACTCCTGCCCCGCGAGAGCCACTCGCCAGCGGGACGTGCCATTTCACGGGGTTCTTATTGTACATAGGCCAAGGAGGAATGACCGCCAACCCGGTCACCACGGTACCTGCCAGACCAACCCAGAGCGTAAGGTGGATATCCTGGTAGATGTAACCGGCAACGAACGCAATGGCCTTGATAAACAACAAGTATAAGCAGCCTATCTAGTTGTGGGGAGTAGGAGATAAATTCCGATCGGGTTCAATAAACTCACGCCTGTGATAATCAATAAAACCGTAGAAAGAATCTCAGTGATGCGCTGGCCCTGAAAGTCCTATGTAAAGGTGCGATATTAGTATGCGGCGGAATGAATGAATGGATAGGTGGCCGGAGGGGGAGCCTTAGTAGCTTCCGAGAGCCATCATAACCAGACCAACTTACTATTTGACCTTCAAAGGCATCCTGGATGGGAGCGAGGATATTATCCATGATGTTAAAATTGATTATAAACTAAAAGAGAGATGCGCGGATCGTTGATGTTGAAAGACAGATAACAAAGGGAGGGTCGGTCAGATCAGCTCCCATGCAGTGGCCAAGATTCCATCACCGCCCCGGCTGGGTTTAAGGCAGCGGGTAATCCAATCACTGCCACCACCCTAGTATAAACTGCCCAACTTACTGCTTTTACCCATAGATAGTAATGCTCACGAACTATCCATTTATTTCTATATGGTCTCTTGTGTAGAGTCAAAGAAGTCTTTTTTTGATACCTACTTGTGACTTACTGTCATGAATGTATGTCTTCATCAATTGGAAAACCCCCTCCCCTTTGTCTGGCCTGGTATGAGCTTGTGACTACAGATCGCATATCATCATATAAGAGAGGGTGTGTTATAGGGACGTTAGTACCGCTCATTCTAGGCCACTTTCAAGAAAACATCTAATATAGCATTCATATCTGTAAAATGTACATTGAGAGTCCGTCTCTCTCGCATCTTCCCCATTCTAGATACCACTCTATTTGGTCTAACCCCAGCAGACACACTCAAGCTACACCCATACAGCCACCCCCTAATACTGCACGACGGTACCTTCCTGAGCAGGCTCAAGCAGCTTCCACTTGCAAGAGATATCATTCGCCGCAAATCCAGCGATGATGCGGTCCGCGATCTCGGTGAACCGATCCGTGGCCAGCGCCAGGATGGTCGGGCCAGCTCCCGAAAGGCAGATGCCCAGCAGGCCGGGCTGGGTCTTGGGCGTCATGGACTGGAGAATTTCCGTCAAGCCAGGGATGAGGTTCTTTCGGTAGGGCTGGTGCACTTTGTCTTGCATGGCGAGGAAGATCATGTCTGGATCGGGCGGGGAGGTGCCCAGAGCAGCCGGGAGTAACGCTGCGCGTTGGAGGTTGAAGACCTGTAGGAGAATGTTAGCGCACGTAAAGGAAAGATACAGGGATGAAAAAAGCAAAGGAACGTACGACGTCTGCCCTCGAGTATGACGTTGGCAAAACGTTTCGGGCGTTGGCGGTGGGAACGACAAAGTTGGGGATGATGGCGATGGTCTTGATCTCCTTAGCCCAGGGGAATTTCCTGTAATGGCCGATGCCCAGCGGGGGCTCCGGGGGCTGTTTCCCCGTATCGATTCCGCCAGCCGGGGCGGGAAGCACCTCGCTCAGCGGGATTTCCCTGCGGGCCACATCCTCGGGCTTGAGTTCGTTCAGGTAAGTTCCGACGAAGCCTCCGAAGAGCGAGGCGGCAACGTTATCGGGGTGACGTTCTGTTCGTTATCAGTCAATTGCTGTGTGGGCGGGTGAGGGGGGTTCCCTGCATATGGACATGCAATGGCAACAAATGGAGACAATCCAAGCTCACCTATCATCAGACAATAATCCAGCAAGCGGTCCTTGCTTAAGCCCAGACGACCTACTTCATTCCCCAGCATCACACCAGCCACCACCGCCGTGCCAGACGACCCGAGGCCACGGCTCAGGGGAATGGGGTTTACAATATGGACGCGGGTCTCCACGGGGAAGGCCCGGAGGTCATGGCACCTAAGTACGTATAGAGCTACACGAGTGATCAGGTTGACCTCGGGATCTAGGCTGATCTTCTCAGTACTTTGGCTTTGGTCGTCATACGTGATCACGCAGTTGAGGGGATGTTGCGACGAGGATTGGGAGGAGTCGACCGTGACACGAAGCTCCAGGTGAAGGGATAGAGCCAGGCCAATCACGTCGAATCCAGGGCCGATGTTGGCCGAGGAGCAGGGCGTTTTGATGACGAAGGATGATGAAGCCATTGCGATAGTGTTTTCTGTTCCCTTTCTTCTCTTCTTTCCTCTCCTGGTTTGCCTTTTTTTTTCTTTTTTGATTCGCTTTTCCTTCTCACTTTCCTTCTTGGTTCTTGTTCTACCCGTGACCCTCGATAAGACACCAATGAGTGGGAAGGCTAGCAGAGGATTCAAATGTGTGATGAAACAGAAATCGACCTATACTTCCGGTCACTATTCCGAGTGGATGGGAAAAAAGATAATGAATGGTACTATCAGGAAAGGGAAGATAAAGATACCGAATATGAGGTCTGAAACAAATATTGCGATGACTCGGAAGTCTTGGCATTGGCCCCGCGGAAGGGAAAAAATTGGGCGTGGTTGACCGACCTCGGGGCGAATTCCAGATGCTTAGTCTGACTGTAGGGCTATCATTCCGCAATCGTCCCCCTGCATCCTGTTTGCGTTGTCCATGCTTTTTAAACTTTTGCTCCCCAGGCTTCAAAGAATTGATCTATCAGAGTGATCAGTGTTTTATTCTAAGAAAGGAAATTATCACTGTTATACAATCTGCATGTTGTTGGTCTCCATAATTCCCCCTCGTGCTGTCTAGTACTAAGGTACCTAGGTAGGTAGGTAAGTACTTGAACAGCACCTCTGAGAATATAGTAACACCAATGACATTGAGAGGGTTATCATCATGGTTATGATTGACCATGTACATGCTGTCCCGATGTGATGGATCTGAGATGCACATGCATGATATGGTTGACATTACTATTATTAATGGTCCAGCAAGATCCATGGATTGTTGCCGAAACCAGTTCCAGTCCGCCCACAGTGGACAATCCATGACTAACTTTGCCTGTGTCACCTGATATCAAGATATGGATTCATTCCAGGTGAAATGAATAATATCGTGACTTGAGATCATTCAGATATTGTCAAGTCTCTTCAATAAGAAAGAGTCGGATGCAACTCGATCATCTATCCCTTCAATTCAGACCAGAATACAGTTACATCCATCCCAGGTCCAGTGCGGAGTTGACTCCCCGGGCTAATGGTCAGAAGCCATCTCATTGAAACTTCTTAAAGTCTTAGCCCTTGTTGGCGCTCTTTTGGTGCTCCATATTTAACTTCTCTTACACGGAAATCCCCTCCCTGTCTGTGCTTTTTTGGCCACCGGAATCAACCCTCTCTTTCTTGGCCCCTTTCTTTTCTCCTCTTTTTTTCTGGTTCTTTTCCTCTTGTTTTCTTGGCCTTTCCTTTCGTTTGGCTCCGGCTTCCTTCTCATTTTGTAGCCTGACTGGTTCGTGGTTCCAGTCCTTTTTTAACCTAAGACTTCCTTCGCCCTTGTCTTCTGTCGTCTGATCTTGCTTGGTCCTTTTCAGTCAAGTCCCATAAAATCAAGACTAAGACACCTCTGGGTGCAACGTCCGGCCTGGTTCTATCTTTGGTTTCGTCTCCATAAATTTCTTCGCCCCCTTTTCCCTCTCAATCACTTTCTTTGTTTTTACTCGTCTGGCCTTCCTCTCTTCGAATCCCTCTCTTCCCTTTTGATTCCGTCTCCCTCTTTACTTTTAAAGAAAGACAGATCTCGGGTTGATTTGTCTTTTCACTTTTGAATTTCTGATATCGAGTCGGACTTTTTATTTTCTATATTTCTTTGATCTATTTTTTTTTTATTTTTTATTTTTTATTTTTATTTTTTATTTTTGAAATAAAATTATATAAGCATCCCTCATTGATCCGTCATTCGCCAGTTTCTCTTACTATCGGCGACTCGACTTTTTCCTCGCTTCAATCTCGTGGTGTGCCGGGATTTTTCACCACTCATCTCTCTCCACATCAGACCGACTTCCACCAAAAGATTCTCTGCTGTTGACTTCTCCTGCGACCAAGAGAATAAACTTCTGCTGATCGTCCCACCCACATCTCGATCTCGTCGCCGATACTTCCGTCTCATACCTTAAGAATCGGGTACCGACGTCATTGATCAAAGCGAAGTTTAAAAAAAAAAGAAGAGAAAAAAAGGTCTCGCCGCGGTGAATTGCAAGGAACTCTGTCGGAGCTTCCTGTGAACTCATCCCTAACTCAACTGCAACTCTGGAGCCACCAAGCTCCTCGTCGGATTACTTAGTCAAGTTGGCGGGCACTCGCTTCAACCAGTCTACCTTCCTCCAGCCTCTCCTGGGCCCTAAGTGCAGGGTCTTCTGCGGGGGCGTCACCAAACCCCCGTAATAGAACGGTCCAGCGACCTAAGAAAGCTGGCACTCGATCTCCCCGACGGTAATGCCAGGCCCTGTCGAGGGGTCTGGCTGATGGATGGAGAAGCATTTCCCTGGGACTTGTTCACGCCCTCGTTGTCGTTGACCCGAAGGCTTTGATCATTTACCGCTTGGTGCTTGCCTAACTCTTCTTTATATTTTCTGCGATTTTCTTCTTTTCTCGACTCTCAAACCCATTAATGTACCCGATCGCGAACGGTCCACCGAGTCATCATGTCCGAGTCACCCCGGTCTGAGAAATACATGTGCCTGACCCGGTTCAGCACCCCGGTCCCCGAGCTGGACGATCACCGATTCCAATTGGAACCTACGCAGCCGCGCATTGAGGCCACCCCCGATGCCCAGCTCAGTCGCCAGAATACCGCCCAACAGGGGCTCCCCCCGGATACTCCCCAGCGCCCGGATCTGCTTCATGTGCAGGAGGCACTCCGGGAGGCCGGCTCGTTCTCGCGAGACTTTGAACAAGCCGTTGTCGACGATGATCAAGCGGGCAAGGATATCAATGCGCTGGGTCGGCGCTTCTCCGTCGATCCGCCCGGCAATACCCGTCAAGGCCGTTCCTATAGCCGCGCCCCTCCGGACCTCACCAACGTGTCGAGAGAATCGTCCCCCTCCGCCCGGTCAACGTCTCCGCCTAACTCCGTCGAAGCGTTCGCCGACCCCCGCCGTCGCGAGCGCGCAAATACTCTGGAAAGCCACGGAGCGCCCGACCTAGAGGCGATCCTGCAGCGAACCGTCTCTGGCGGCACCCACGCTCGCCGCCGCACGTTCAGCAATGCGAGTATCATCCGGCCCCAAGCGGGCGAAGTGCAATTGGAGCCCGCCGATGACCCTTGCGTTCCGTCGTATGAGGAGCCGGGCCGGATTCCGGTCATCGATTACGAGGAACTGGAGGAATTCGTGGCCTTGAATCACAAGGCAAAGCACACCACAACGAGACAGTGCCAGAGCCTCAGCTCCCAAAGCAATCAACAGCGGGTTTTCTATGATCTCCGCCCAGCCGCCCAGAAACCCAGCGACGAAGACAAACGCTCCTCCAGTGTGGGACGATCTTCGGATGACTACATGACGTCGGACCCCAAACTCAATGAAAAGGCCTTTGCGGAATCCGTGAACGAGAAGGAACTCTTGGCGCACCTGAAAAACGAGAATGAGCCTAGTCGGTTTGGCTTCTTCTCGTCCGAGTCGCAGAGCACCGTACATGCTGCCGAGCTCGGTGACCTCGTCCTGCCGGGGGATACGTTTCGGGATCTTTTCCAGCTGGGTCCGGAAGGGGGTGTGTGGTGGTTGGACGTCTTGAACCCCACGGAGGCGGAAGTCAGTGCGCTCTCGAGGGCGTTCTCTATCCATCCGCTGACCACGGAGGATATCATGACCCAAGAAGCCCGAGAGAAAGTCGAGCTGTTCAAGCAGTACTACTTCGTTTGCTTCCGCACGTTTTACCAGCTCGACAAGACCAGCGAGAATTTCATGGATCCCGTCAACTTCTACATGGTGGTGTTCCGTGACGGAGTGCTGTCTTTTTCGTTCACCGACAACCCGCACTCGTCTAATGTCCGGCAAAGAATCGGCAAGCTTCGCGACTACGTGTCCTTGAGCAGTGACTGGATCTGCTATGCCATGATGTAGGTCGTCTCCAACTCCGCTTCATGTCAGCTCGTGACAACTAACTCAGTTATAGTGACGATATTGTCGACAGTTTCGGTCCTGTTATTCGCGAAATCGAAGTTGAATCCGAAGCCATCGAGGACTTGGTGTTCATCGCGCGCATGGACGATTTCGAGTCGTTTTTGCCCCGGATCGGCGGCCTGCGCAAGAAAGTCATGAGTCTGATGCGTCTCCTGGGCGGCAAAGCGGATGTCATCCGCGGGTTCTCCAAGCGCTGCAATGAGCAGTACTCGGTGACTCCTCGTGGTGACATTGGCCTCTACCTGGGTGACATTCAAGATCACGTCGTGACGATGATGTCTAACCTGGCGCATTTCGAAAAGATGCTCAGCCGGTCCCATACCAACTACCTTGCCCAGTTGAATGTGACCAATCTGGTGCTGGGCAACCACGTCAACAATGTCCTGAGCAAGGTGACGCTCATCGCCACCATGCTAGTTCCCATGAACCTGATCTGCGGTTTGTTTGGCATGAACGTGCATGTCCCAGGAGAGGATGCCGACGGCTTGGGATGGTTTTTTGGCATTCTGGGTGTTATCGGCGCCGTGATTATCCTCAGCGGTGTAGCAGCCCGATTTTATAAACTTGTATAGCGCGATATTGCAGTATGCGCGCTTCATATTAGTTAGGCGTCACTTGGCCTTGGTGGCACGTTCTATATAGTGCAATGCATAAAATAACAACGGTGTCAAACAATCAAAATCCGTCTGTATCCATGTCTTTTTCAAAGGTTCAGATAAATTCCTCCAAAAGTCCCATTAACTACGGGGTAGAAGGTGAGTCCAGTGACCGGAGAATCTGCGGATTACCCCATTCGGTTAGTTTTGCCTTTCTGGGTGGAAATTATCTTCTTCACTCTTTCGCCCTCAACTTCGACTTTCCGGCCGTTCCTTACGGGAAGTGCCAATGGGGCCAGGATCCAATGAGTCAAGTCTCTTGACTGTGATTATCACGACCTCGCCGACCCCATCCATTCCATCCACACAATTAGTCTCATCCGTACTGCGATCCTTCAAACGACACTGCACGGCACTGCTCACAGCCCGGGTGATCGTGGTCTTTGACACCTTCGAACATGTCACAATCCGATCCCGCCTGAAAAAGGGCCAAGCGACGGCAAAAGTCGCCGAAAACTACAGCGACTACATAGAGAACGTCAAAGAGCTCATCATCACCAAATACGCTCCCCACGGAGACAAGAATCCAGCAAGCGAGCCGGGAGCCACCGCCCTCCGCGAATGGCAGGACCGCGCCGAGTTCGGGCTAGAAAACCCCCGCAACGAGGTTAGCCTGGCCATCACGCAGACCGCAGACCAGCAAGTTACGTTCATCGAGCCCGCCGCGCGCCTCGGGTTCGGACTCGCTGTGCGCGCGGCGCTGAGGATATGCGGGACGCCATACGTCTGGGTGCAGCAGCACGACTGGGCCCTCGCGGCGGATATCCCGCTAGCGCCGCTCCTCGACGTGATGGCGAGTTCGGACGCCGACGAAGCCGCACCGGTTAAGTACGTCTCGTTCCCGTCGGAGCGCATGCGCTCGTACGCGGTGTCGGCCTGCGTCAATGACTATCCCGCGCTGCGGGAACTGACCGCGTCGCTGAAGAGGGATTTCACGCCGCCGTCGCAGCCGGACGTGAAGGTCCCGCTGACGCCGCTGTTCTTCTGGTTCGATAAGCCGCATCTTGCGTCGACGGAGCACTATCTTGCGCGGGTCTTCCCGAGTCGACTGGCGATGCGGCGGGGGGAGTTCATTGAGGATAAGATTGGGCAGCGGGCGAGACATAATATGAAAGAGGGTCAGTGGCACCGGTGGGCCTGTTGGCTGTATTATGCGGATGAGGCTAAGGTGCCTTATCTCCGCCATTTGCATGGGAGGACTTGGGATGGCGTGGATGGGAAACTATACCTGAAATATGGGTGTGTTGAAGATGAATGATAATATTATTCTCCTCCGTATCTGTACCTGATCTATACTGTAGACATGCAATGCTGCATAAACCCCATTACATAAGCCCTTATCAGCCGTGTGGCTGAGACAGCTGAGACGTGGCGCAGGCTGACAGGCAAACAAGAATAGATCACGGCCCACCGCAATGCGATCAACGATGAACATAGGATATACTCGTCCCTGTCAGGCACAGGCGACCCTCAAACACGAGCGATTCAATCTTACAACACAGACAAGTATAATCAGTGAATGATTCATCCGACACCAGCCGTCGGTCCATTCCAGGCCTCCGTCCGCGCCTGACCCGAGGTCACCACCACTGCTGTGTGTGGTCCGCGCTTCCACCATCGCATCGCATCGCATTCTACCAAGACGTGAACCGTCCATGCGACCAACAACACCCAAGCTGCAGTACCGCCTGGCAGCAACGCTCGCCGCATGTAGCGCCGTCCTCTTCAGCGCGCCGGCATTCGCGCACACAGAGGACAGTCTCACAGCGCCGGCGCCGGCTGGCCCCGACGGGAGCAATGTGACGCTCGGCAGTGGAGGGGGAGGGCAGTTTCCGTTTGCGCTGGGGTCGTATAATGGGCTTGTGTTGGAGGATTCTCCCGATGAGGGGGCGGATGCGTCGCTGGATCCGATCCGTCGGGCTCGGAGGGCTGTGTCGTCGGTGGGGAATAATCAGTACCAGGAAGATGATATCAAGCCGGGGGAGACGCAGAAGTGGTACTTTCCTAGGGATGCGAAGGATAGGGATGGGGATGGGCCTAAGGGTGGGAAGGACAGGGAGGGCGGTGGTCCTAAGGGAGATAAGGGTAGGGAGGGCGATGGCCCCAGTGATAGGGAGGGCGATGCGCCCAAAGAAGAGAGACCGAGTCATCGGAAACGCGCGAACACAGTCTACGTGTCTATGACCATCTGCTCGAAGCCGCGCCTCTCCAAGCGCGACACCGATCACAACCCGCCCGCTCTGCCCCAGCTAGAGGTCTCGATCCTAGGATTGAACGGGACCGACAGCTGGGCCGTCTTCAAGTCCGAAGGCGGCTACATGAGCGCCGTCGGAGACGCAACAGGCGACGTCCAGCTCAAAGTCACAGCGCCCGAAAGCAAAGACTACGAGGGGACCTACCACTACCAGATCGCGGCGTCCGTCGACGCGCTCTTCCACACGGTCGGCGGTGACGAATCGCTCTTCCATGTCGACTCGGACACAACCACGGCGCTTCTCGCGACTGCCAGTCTCAACAAGACGGACTACCACCTGCCGGCTGGCAACGACAGTGACTGGCTACATAAGCGACCCCCGTTTGTGATGTTCGCCAATAACGTCAATGATCCGTCCATTGAGGGCATGGAGCGCTCGTACTGCGCGCTTAACCTGCATGCGCAGATCAAAGGCAAGAAGAGCGTTGAAGCGAGCATGACTAGGCGGCCGGGAGGTGAGAAAGTCCGAGAGCAGTTCTACGTTACCAAGCTTAACCGCAGCTCTGAGTACACTGGTATCCTGGCCATGGCGGGGAACTCGACGGACTCGGGGAATGGCTATATCGGAGGAGGGGGGCGAGTGTGGCAGCCAGAGAAGTTCTCCACCAAACATGGTAGGCCCTTACACTTCAATCCCTTTGATAATATACCCCCAGCTAACAAATAAATAATAAAAAAAAACAGACGACAACTGCGCCCTAATCCACGACCTCCCCTTCTGCAAAGAAGTAGCCTACGCCGTCCCGACCAATCCCCAAAAATACAAGAACAAGCTCAACGACCTCATAACCACCTACGACGACCACGCCCGCAGCCTCTACAAGAACTTCACCTACTCGCTCGCCCAAATCCAATGCAACGCCACCAACAACGAAACCAAATGGTCCCTCTCCGTCAACTGCGACGACTGCGCCAACGCCTACAAGAACTGGCTCTGCGCGGTGACCATCCCCCGCTGCGCCGACTTCTCCAACACGAACAACACCGCCCTGCACCCGCGCAACATCCCCCGCCCCTTCCACAACGGCACCTCCCTGCCTTCCAGCGCAGTCAACGAAACAATCCGCAACTTCCCCGCCGCGCGTGGCGCGCGTAACCCCTCGATTGATCGCATCATCAACCCCGGCCCGTACAAGGAAATGCTCCCCTGTCGCGACATCTGCTGGGATCTCGTGCGCAGCTGTCCGTCAGCGCTGGATTTCAGCTGTCCCGAGGAACCGGGGATATGGGCGAGTTACGGCGCTAAGGATAAATACGAGGAGGGGAGGTGTAATTATCCGGAGGCGCCGTTTAAGGATAAGAATGGGGGGGTTGCTTTGCGGGGTGGGTTTGGGTTGGGGTTGTTGGGGGGGTTTTGGCTGTTGGTTTGGTTCACAGTGTTTGAGTTGTTGTGATGATTTTATGTTGCTTTAGAGGGTTTTTTGGGGGAGTAAATATTGGATTTGGTTATGATTTTTGTATAGGTTTGGCTGAGCTGCCCCATACTTTTTTTTCTTATTTATCTTCTACTGTAATTATATTATACAGATTATACAGACTAAACCGATTGATTATTTGAATTATTTTGAAGGCAATCTGGAATAGAAGAAGGGAGATAGACGTTGACATAGAGGTTGAGGAGTGCAGTCAACGTATGCACTGCGGCTTTGTCTGTTTATGTATTTATTTATTTATTTGTTTGTTTGTGTATATGTTTAATGTTTATTTATTTGTCTCTATTGATATATGGACCAAGTTGACACAAATCAACGGCTGTATGACGCTTGATGCTTGATTGTAAGGTATATAAGAAGGGAAGAAAAGAAAGTCATCGCTAATATCAACTCCAAAATAACCAGCCCATGACTCATTATAGAATACCAACGCCTTTGCCTGTTTGTTCCCGTACTCCAATCCAATCCGGTCCAATATAGTAGTCGTAGTGTAGTGTAGTGTAGTGTAATGCAATGGGCTCATGTATAAACCCACGCAATGGAATCCTTTCCATGAAAACGGGAAAAGAAAAAAGAAAAGATTACTTCCCCCTCTTAGGCGTAGGAGTCCACAGATTCCTCAACCCCGACGAAGACGAAGCCGAAAACCCCGGCGTCCGCGGCGTACTCCCCCCCACCTGATGGAGCAATTTCTGCGCAGCAGGCGTGAGGGCCTTCCCCGGCGTAACACCCCCAGCAGGAGGATGTCCCCGCGAACCAAAATCCAAGCGCGGACTGCTGGCGAAACGTGGGGTCCGGGAGACAGGCGTCTTGGTCTCGCGGGCGGCTTTCTCGGCCCGTTTCTTGCGTGAGACGCGGTCGACCATGCGGTGGTGGAGGGCTTCGCGGTGGCGGTTCTCGCGGATGGAAAATGGGTTGGGTGTGCGGTCTTGGGGATCGCTGCTACCTAGGAGGTCGTTGAAGTCATCTGCGGATGTGGTGGCGGAGTCTGGTTCGTCCTCGTCGACAAAGGCGTAGCCGTTGACGCGGGGCGTCTCGCCGCCTGTGAAGCCCGGTTCGGAGTCTGTGAGGCGCGGACGCCCCGCGATGGCGTCTTTAATGGCGGAGATAGACGGGGAAGGAGGGGGCGGGGCAGCGGGCCGGTGAGTTTCGTCCGGTAGCCGGGTGTTCTGGTAGACAACGTGTTTGGGCCCCGCGCGCGAAGCAGCTTCAGCGCGCTGCTGGATCGTCTCGTGGTCGTCTTCGATGGACTGGGGCGCGAACATGAGGGGGTTTTCGGGCCGGGCCTTCCATGCATCTGGCTTAGCGGGCCGGGCGTCCAGATCCGTCTTGATGGCTACCGCCTGGGTGGTTGGGTCGGAGGAGGGCGTACCCCCCTGGGCCTCGATGCGCTTGGTCTCCCGCCGGTGATGTGCGATCTGGCGCGCCGTGGGGACCTTATTCCCGCTCCACATCCAGGCGTAGTGCTCGCGGCGCTTGGCGTTCTGCTTGTCTAGCACCTTATTGAACGACTCGTTATCCTCGCTGGTGTACTTAGCCTGGAACTCGAGGAGTCCAAGCCGGGAGACGTCGGGTGCGGCGCTCTCCTCTTGGGACTGCGTCGGGGCGACGGTCGACGGAGTCGCAGAGCCCACCGACAACGGTGTCTCACCGCGCCATCCGGTCGGGGTGTCCCCCACGTCAGAGAACTGTGGTGTGGTGCCCGAGGCGGCGGGGCGGGGCCTGGCCCTGCCGGGCGTTCTTAGCACGTCGACTAACCTCCTCTTCGAAGTGGCGATCCATTCTTTGTCCTTTGAGTCGAGAGCGTCCAGATAGTCCTGTTTCACTTGAGCCTCGAGCAGACCGGGGAAGTAGTCTCGGGCGATGATGTCGGACAGAACGTTGGTGTAGACGTCTTCGTCGAGGACGGTGGCGGGTCGTTTGATGCGCTTTGGGGGTGGGGGAGGGGGCATCAGAGCGGATTCGCTCTGGCGTTTTGTGAGGGCTTGGGAGGACATGGCTGCGGGAGAAACGGCAGACTTGTTGTGAGAAGTGTGGTCAGTAATGAGAGGACCTCATCGGTCGTCTGGCCGTGGAGCAAACATGGAGATGATGAGAAAGAAGATGGGAGATGCAGCGGAGTGAGATGACGGAGATGTGGATGCGGGCGGTGATGGATCAAAGTGTGTGATTGGCTGTTCTTTACTACAGCAATAATACTGCCGATCTAGTCATAAGGACTACAAGATAGGGCTAATTACCAGGTATTATTATATAGGTATCTATTTGATAACTACCTCTGCAGATATGTCTTAGGTTGAATGTATATACAGTACACATGTACAAGTCTATATCCTATCTTCTTACACAGATAGTAATCACAACCAAAACAAATGTAATCGACCAAGGAAATATCCCGAGCGACGGCCGTCAATGTCAATATCCAAGAACGAGAGAACAAGATGAAATAGATAAAACCACCCACCCACTACAGTGCCCAGATCCTCCGTACCAGAAGAACACCGGATGTTTTTCTTTTTTGGATCCTGAGGAAGCAGCGCTGAGAAATGCAAGATATAGACCCGAAAAAGAAGAGAAGAAGAGAAAAGAAAGGGGGAGAAGAAGAAGAAGAAGAAGAAGAAACCCAAGAAAATGGAAGAGGAAGCCAACGAAGGACGAGAGCTGTGCTGGATCAAAAAAAAAAAAAAAAAAAAAAGACAGACGGAAAGAACGACACGTATATAGACAGAGCAAGGAAATTCGCCAATGACCGAAATGGAGAAGATAGGGAGAAAAATCAGGGAGTCATCAATCGTCGAAGAGATTATCGGCGGTGGCTACACCTTCCCTTTTTTTTAGGGTATATATGCCAGAAAATAAAACAAAAACTAGAACAGGAAAAGAAACATGAAGAATAGAAGAAGAAAGGAAGAAAAAAAAAAATCACACAAAGTTAATTGGGAGGCGCAGTGGGAAAGAGAGAGTAGGATGGTCGGCCTCGCCGTCGGTGCGCGCTCTTAGGCGGCAGGTCGGGCTTGGCGCGGGCCACCCACGGGGCCGTCTCCAGGTGGGAGGTCGACTGGGCCCGGTCGTGCAGGGCGGAGGCCCCGGACGCATCCCGAGGAGCGTCCCCTGAGGATGGGTCCCGGCACCAGGAATCCAGCTCCCCGGCGAGACTCTTCGTCGGGCGGTGGTGGGTGGACGCCTCGGGGCGGGCCGCACTGGCGGCCGAGGGGCATCGGGAGGAGGAATCCCCCCCGGCGGACGGGGGCCCGTCGGCGAGGTCCCGGCTATTGGCTAGGCTGTGGATCAGGTCGGGGACGCTGACGGTGGAGACGGAGGACCGGTGTTTGCGGACGATGGAGGCGGCGCGCGACAGGATCAGGCTCTCCTCGGAGTTGTACTTGCTGATGGGGGAGAAGCTGCTGCGGGGAGAGACCGGGTGCTCCATCTGGGGGCTGACGCCCGAAGAGTAGAAGGAAAAGGGCCGGTCCGACTCGGCGTCCGTGGCCAGGTACTCCTCGTACAGGGCATCCGGCCCGTCGGGCTTCCCCAGGGCCGACGGGAACAGAGATGGACCGACCGGAGGGAAGTAATCGCCGGCGGCACTGGCCGGGGTGAGCGCCCGCTGCGACCCCGGAGTCGGCAGCGTGGAGGGGCTCAGGTGCATCGCGGGCACCGTCGGAACCCCTCGGGGTGCCGACGACGGGACAGGACCGTCGCAGTCGGTGGCCAGGATGGGGATGTCGGACCCGGGGGTCGGGAGCGGCGGTCGCTCCTCGAGCGACCGACGGCCCCAGTCAAAGTCGGAGCACGATTCGGCGGCGTGCTCGTAGCAGTAGTCGATGTCGGCATCCCACGTCTCGTAGATGGTCTCGTAGGCGGGTTTGCGGCGGGAGGACCCGCGGCGGATGGGCGCGCCGGAAGGCGGGGTGAGATCGTCTGCTTCCGACGCCCCGCGCTGCATGTGCGACGACGGCGGCGGCGGCGGCAGGGTCGGGGAGCCCAACGCCTCGGAGAATCGCCGGGACAATTCGGCGGAGGAGTAGATGGAGGGACGGGAGGCCGGCACGGGGCTGCTGCCCCCGCGGGACGGTGGGCGGGGACCGTCGGCGAGGTCGGGCTGTTCAGGGCTGTCGTGCCAGTGGGTGGCAGCGATCTCCTCCGGCACGTCCGTCAGGTCCGACGGGCGGGTGGTTGGGGACAGCGACATGGTCCGGACGTGGTCCCAGGAGCCGGCGAGTTCGGGGCCGGACGGGGCGGCCGGTGGCGGCCGGTGGAGGATCTCGTCGATGACGCGCGCGGTGGGTTCGGGGATGTCGGGGGCGGCGGCGAGGTGCGGCGAGGCCGCGCGGGGCGGAGGGGAGTCCACGCGGGGCGAACGAGGGACGGGGCGGGAGAAGTTCTCGATGGGGCGCGACGGGCGACGGGCGTGAGACACCTGCTGCTTGGGGCTGATGGAGGAGGAACCGCCGGGGGAGACGGACGGGCTGACGGAGGCGAGCGGGTCCTCCACCGGGGCGGTCGGGGTGGTCGGGGGGAGGGGGGAGGAGTCAGAGTCGGCGAATTCGCGGAGGGGGAGGATGTCCTCGGCGCGGATGCCCTTGAGGTCGGTGACGGGTCGCTGGGAGGCGCGGATGGCGGAGAACTCGGTGACGAGGTCATTCTGGCGGGTGTCCTCGAGGGCGGGGAAGTGCGACTGGCTGGTGTGGGTGAGGTGGTGAAAGTCGAAGGGGTCGGAGATGAGGGATTTGAGGTGGCCCTGGGCGTCACTCTGGCGGGCGCGATGGTGACGGTGGAAGAGGTCCCCGACCTCGAAGCGGGCGCTGCTGGCCCTCCGGTCACGGTCGGACTCGTCGACCTCATCGAGGGTGGCGACGATGTGGAAACGGCTACCCTGACGGCGGAGGATGCGACTCCCGCGGGTGAAGAGGGCTTTGGTCATGCTCCCGGGGCGGTCATTCCGCAGACCGGCTGCGGAGGGGGCGCGGTCGTCTGGGGGGTGGACGGAGGCGGCATCGACGGAGGTCATGGAGGAGGTGGTAGAGCCGGTGGTAGAGCCGGAGTTGGAGGTTGAGGTGGTGGTGGTAGTGATAGAAGAGGAGGAAGTCGTCGTCGTGTTACTCCGAGAGCGACCTCCAAAGACGGAGAGACGTTTGGGACTGTGGGGGAGAGCCGTGGACCTGGAACGGAGATGGACGGCATGGTCTGGGGGGTCTCCATTGGAGGAGCGAGTAGAGGGACGGTCTTCTACACGGGCTTGATCCGAACGGACCTGATCCCGGTGGGAGTACATATTGATATAATCGGGGAGGTAGTAGTCAGGATGTCAGAGGCCAGGTGGAAGTGGCATGATAGGACAGTGATAGAATGAATGGGGGGGGAGGAGATAGAGAGACGCAGAGAGAGAGAGAGAGAGGGAAGAAGTAGAGAGAGAGATAGAGGGGAGGGGGAAGAGAGAGAGAGAGGGAGTAAGGATGAAGTGAAAGAGAACAGGGGAGAGAGAAAGAAAGAAAGAAGTGAGAAAGAGTGAGAGGAAGAAAGAAAGTGGAGTAGTCTAAGACGCCCGACGGATAACCGTCAAACCAGTGGAGAGAAGAGATTGGTCTGGATCCCCATTCTAGTTAGATGAACAGGATGAAACGAGAGAACAGGAGAGAGAACAGAATCCAGAATCGAGAAAGTAAGAGAGTCGAGAAAGAAAGAGAGAGAGAGAGAGAGAGAACTCGCTTAGCGAGTGGGGATCCTTTCCATATAAACTCGAGATTCTCCTATATCCAATATCACCCAAGGTAATAAAACCAACAATGACATTTAAAGGAATGAACCCCTGTCACCCCTGATCCATCTCAACCTCTGTCTGGTCCATGGTTCATCCAGGATTATCCACGATTTACCCTGTTTAACCACGGTTGACCAGGATGACAAGGTTCTCCGGACAGACAGCGGAGACGGGGAAATAGTATATCGTAGTATATAATAGAGGTATTATAGATATTGATTCAATATTCTAGCTATCTTTGATTCTTTCCATGTTATCTTTTGGTCGTTCCATTCTTTCTCATATTCTGTACTCTCTTTTCTACATTTTATATCGATTTTACACATTATATTATAGATCACGTACCTCGGATCCACATGCTGAGAATATCACACCGCCAGGGTACCTGCATCCACGTTCTACGATGGATTTAATATCTGAGGGACTATTATTATTGGATCTTATTGATTTATATTATATATTCTATATTATATATTCTATATTATACTATTATATTAATTATCCTGTTCAGCCCCGGATCCATCTCCTCCATCTTCTCTCGCTCTCTCTCTCTCTCTCTCTCTTTCTCTTTTGATCCTCTACTCCATCTCTCCTAAACATTTAACTATATATCTCACAATAAAAAATATCAACAGAGAGGAGAGTCAAGAATCAAAAAATTAATCAAAAAGATCAATCTAACTATAAATAAATCCCCCTATCCTCCCTCCTCCGATCTACCCCGATCGGGTCACTCCAGGACGATCTCTCTCTCTCTTCCTCGGTCGCATCTCCCTCGTTCTCCATCGTTCTTCCTCCTGACGATCGTGTCTGGACCATATTCACTCCACTGGTAGTACCCTGTGGACTCCGTCTAGTTCTGTCTACTCCATCGGTCACCTCTACGGTCTACCGAGTACGCGTCGATACGATCGATTGATCTGATCATACTGTTTGTGACTTCTTATACACCTCGGATAACGCCATAATACACAATAGAGAAGAAATAAATAAATCACAAGAAAAAGAAATCAAAACAGCCCGTCATCCTCGTGTTCTTCGTCATCCCCACTTTCCTGCCCCCCTTCGTGGCCCCCGACCTCTCCTCCTCCTCCCGTCGTGGCCCCCGTCCCCTCCTCCCCTTCGTCTTCCTCCTCCTCATCGTCGTCCGCAATCCGTCGGGCTTTCTGTTTCGCCCGTCGGCGTTGCACCACTTCCTGCTCCTGCTCCTCCTCCCTATCATCCTCCCCCCCATCGCGCATCTCCTCGTCCCCGTCCGACCCCGCCGGGCTTCCGCCCCCATCCTCCTCCTCATCCGAATCCACAACCATCTCACTACTCTTATACTTGCTCGACGCCTTCCCGCCCGATCGACGCTCCAACCGACGTCGCTTCTTCGGCGCCGCCTCCCCTCCACTCTCCCCGCCCGAGCTATCACCACCCCCCACAGCTCCCTCCTCCCCATCACTGACGAACGAGTCCCCGTCCGTATCCCGTCGCTGCGACCGCTTCTTGCGCTTCGACGACGCCCCACCACCACCACCTCCTCCCCCGCCAGACGCCTTCTTCCGACGCTTGACCCGGTCGCCCGTCTCCTCGTCCGTCGTCAGCTCCGCTTGCTCCCGCGCGTGATCGTCCGCCGCCCGCTGCTCCGCCAGCCGCTGCGCGTCCTCGATCAGCTGCTGCCGCTCTGCGGCGACCTTCTGCTTTCGCTCTTGTTCCACCGCCTGCGCCTGCTTGACGGCTTCGGCCCGGCGCGCGAGCTCCGCCTCCCGCGCCGCCCGCGCCTGCTGTAGCTTGGCGGCGTTCTGCTCCTCGTAGGTCCGTTGGCTCTGGAGGGCTCGCTCCAGCTGCTTGTTGATCGTCTTGCCCATGTTGGCGCGCTGCTCGAGCGCGCCTGCCGGGTAGGGCGGGTTCTTCCCTGCGGCGAGCCGGCCGAAGGTCTCGACCGCCTGGCGGAGTCCCTCCGCTGCGGCCTCGAGGTCTGCCACGGTGCGTTGTGTTTCGCCCAGTCCGTAGGCGAGCGACGCGATCTGGTTTTGCACGAACGCGACGTTGAACTCCAGGTGCACTTGCCCCGGTGCAACCGAGTGCGCCCGGCGCGCGTACTCCAGCGCGGTCTGCATCGCCGACAGGCTCGCCTCTTGCTTCCCCCGTAGGAGCCATACTCGGCCCAGGCAGGCGAGGATCTGCGCGTCGCGCGCGCGGTCCTTGGAGAGAGCCGCCTCGTAGTGCTCGATCGACCGCGTGTACTGCCGGAGTTCCGCGTACACGTGCCCCAGGTTCAGGTAGACGCTGGCGTCGCGCAGCGTGTCGCGGATCTTGGAGAAGATCTGCACGGCCGCGCTGTAGTCCTTGCGGTCGTCGACGAGCGCGATGCCGATGCCCTGCGCGGCGTAGGCGTTGCGCCCGTCCAGCTGCAGCGCCTTGTCGAAGAACTCCACTGCGCGCTCGTACATCCGCCGCCGCTTTTCCCGCTCCGTGTCCGTCTCGCGCCGCATGTCGCGCGCGGTCAGCAGGTGCACGTTGCCCATGCCGGTCAGCGAGTACCGGTCGTGCTTGTCGAAGTACTGCAGCGTGTGCTTGTAGTGGCGCTGCTCGGGGTCTTCGGCGAGGTTCGCGGTCCGCTTCTTGGATTTGCTGAGGTACCAGCCGAAGAGCGCGCGCACTTCGAGGTTGGTGGAGTCTGCTTCGTAGAGCTTGCCCATGCGCTTGGGCCCCTCGTCCGTGGGGCTCTGGCGGAGGGCGATGTAGGTGAGGCGCGCGTTGGCCTCGGTGTAGTCGCTGTGTCGCTCGAGGAGCCCCGCGTACACCTTCTTGGCCTCGTCGGGCATGTCGGCTGCTTCGTAGGTGCGGCCGAGGTTGTAGCTGATTGTTGTGACCAGGGCGTCGGTGTCGAGGTCGCTTGATTTCTCCTGCGAGCGCACGCAGGCGCTGAGCGCCGCTTGGAAGGTCGCCCGTGCGGCGTCTACCCGCTCGGACTGGTACAGGAAGCAGCCCATGTTGTTGAGCAGCTGCGGGGGGAGATTGGCGCGGAGGGCCGTCCGGAGCGCCTCGGCGTCGTCGTCTTCCATGCCCTCCGGCCGCTCGTCGTCGCCCATCTCCGCTAGCTGCATCTCCTCCAGCTGGGAGAGACACTGCATGCTCTTCTCAGGCGCCGTCTGCTCGTACAGACGCGCCAGGTACACCAAGACGGACTCGTCCGGCGCGATCTTCTTCGCGTCGTCCTTCCACAGGCTGCGCACCGACTCCAGCAGGCCGATGGCCTTCTTGAGTTCGGCCGACTTGTCCTCCTTGGAGCCGCTGCGCTGGAGCGCGAACACGTCCTCCGCGTGGAGCGCCGCCAGCAAAAGCATGCATTCTGGGTTCTTGGTCTGCTGGACGATCTTCTCCAGTCGGAACTTGGCCCCGTCCAGGTCCTTGTTCGACACTTGCATCTGCACCGCGCCGAACTTCGCCGGTAGGTATCCCTGGTCGCCGCCGCCGCGCGCCTGATCCGAGCGGTTGTAGTACTCTGCTGCGCGCGCCAGGTCGCCCTCGTAGTGTGCCTTGCGACCGAGGAGGTACCATCCGTCGCTGGCGATCTGCATGACGTCGGTGTGTTCGATCGACTTGCGCGCGAGCGTCTCGACGGTCGCGTAGGACTTGCGCAGGAGGAAGTACCCTCCGAATAAGGCGCAGGTCATGGGGTATTCCTTGTCTAGCTTGAAGGCCTTTTGCGTGTACTGCGTCATGGCCACCTTGTACAGGGAACCGAAGGACGGGTCGGTGGTGGCGTGGCGGGAGCTGTCGTAGAGGTAGTAGACCGCAAGGAGGATGTTGGCGACCTTGGAATCGGGGTTCTATGGAGATCGATCATTAGCCTCGTAATCAACCATCGTAGACGAGGGTCAACTCACCAACGCCAGTGCTCGCTCCCAGGCTACCTTGGCCTGATCCTTGAAGCCCAGCTGCCACAGACAGCACCCGATCCCGATCCGCGGATCCGGGTCCGTCAGCCCCGGCATCTTCACCAACGCCCTCTGGTAGCCCTCGAGCGCCTCCGCATACCTCCCCAGCATGTAATGTGTTCTCGCGCGACCCAGGATCGCCATCACGTTGCGGCCCCCGAAGGCCCGGGAGGACTCGTCGAAGCATTTGAGCGCCTGTCGCAGGCACTCGACGCGCTCGGAGGTATCCACGGTGCCCGGGCGGACCGGTCTCGGGGGGTGCAGCGAGGCGCGCAGGAGGGAGAGCACACCGCGGGCCAGGAACAGGGGCGGGAAGGCCGGGTTCAGCCGCGAGGCCTCGTTCAGCGTGGACGTGGCCTGCTGCAGGTAGTAGTCTTTCGTCTTCGCCTCGGTGTACAGTTCGCCCTCGGACGCGACGCGCGGCGCCTGGCGACTCTTCAGCATCAACAGCCAGCAGACCCAGCCCAACAGGCCGAGCTTTTCCTTGGTGGCGCCATGGGCGACCGAGGCGAGGCCCTTGTTCAGGATATCGATTGCGTGGTCGATCTGTTTCTGCTTGGCGTAGGCCAGCGCGATGATCACCCAGAAATTCTTGGCGGCTTTCTCGTTCTCGAGCAAGGTGCAGAGTTCGGTGGGGTCATCGGGGAGACCTTCTAGACTGACCTCGACTTCGCTGTCGAGGGTGGAGGCGGGAATATCGATGGCGGAGGGAATGTCAGAGAAACGGAGGTTGGCCAAGGAGTTGGCCGGCGCGAGCGAATCTCCGTTGACACCATTGGCGAATCCATTCGATACGGATGCCATGTTTGGACAGGAGGTCCAATTCCGATCGGAAAGATGTTTGAAATTTGAGATATGAGGGGAAATGGGGATGTTTCGTGAGGGGGGAGGACAGGACAAGTTTTGCGGCGAAGCTTCAGCTCATATTCATCACCGAGGACAAAGTCAATCGTAGGTGAGAGTCGCGACTGCTGAGCATCCGAGCACGATCGGAGAGCCCTGAATTTGCGCAGCAGTTGCCGAGAGTGTAAAAAGAAGAAGGAAGGAAGAAAGAAACAAGAAAACAAGAGAGGTTGTTGGGAGGAGAAGATGGCTGATCCGATCGAGGATTCAGAGGAGAAGCCCCGGAGAGCCTGAGGCTCGGCCGCCCGTAATGGGGCTGGTGCTCACCGCCACACTGTGGCTGGCCATACTTTATCGATTCGAGGATACAGTGTACTATATACTCCGTACAACTACTTGATATAAAAATCATTCATTAACCAATTCTATCATCGATTAACACTGGCTCCAAAAATCCGATCAAACCTAATCCAACGAAGGAAGCTGTCTATCTAGTTGCATGCCCGTCATTATTGTCATCTGTCGCGCTACTCATCTCATCATGGACCACCTACACCGGTCGATCGCAAAGTCAGTCCCCAACGGTTCACCTAGTCAACACCTTTGGTAACTTGCACAGACAAGCCGCCATCGTCACCACCATGAAAATCCGAGCGAGTTCGCTCCAGTGACCGAGTCGCACATGGGCCTCGACGAATCCGTCGGACGCGACGGCCTTTTGCTTCGCGGACCCGGACTCGGCTTCGATGGTGCCCGCCAGCTCGGTCGGGAACCGCCCTGTTTCGAAGTATTGGTCCATCAAGAGGTCCTTCTCGGACCATCGCTCCCGCAGCCAGGTATCGAATTCCGCCTGGTCCTCCAGCGGGATATCCGACACGGCGAACCGTCGCCAATACATGTTGACCGATGTCGGAGGTCTCCCCTGTCCGTAGGTGGAGCGCAGGGTGAAATACTTATCGGGAAGGCTCCCTTTCCTATTTTCCAGTCACGCTATCGTCAGCCTTTGCTGGGCTTTTTTTTTTTTTTTTTTTTTTTTAAAGAAAGAGGGGGGCACTTACGGTGGACCTTCGTAGGCGACAGTGCAGTCATACACCCAATCCACCGTCCCGCGTAATTGTTGCAAACAAAAGAAGAGACCGGTGGATCGGGGGAGCAGCACATGCTCCGGGGTCGGGTACCCCTGTTTCTCGGCGTAAGCGGCACTCCGCCGTTTGGTGTTGGGCGACAGGTTCGTCCCCTCGGGGAATATTAGCAGCCACATGGGGTCGTAGTCGGGAGAATCGGACTTGGAGCCGGAGTGGCGCGCTTTCAGCTTCTCCAGGCGATGCTCGAGCCGGGGCTTGTCGGAGATCCACTTGCGGGCCATGAAGATGAATCCGTAGAACATCATGCCCTGACCCACGACGGGGATGTACTTGAGGGATTCCTTGAGGATGATAAAGATGCGGCCATGCATCGCATTCGTGTAGGCGACCCACCAGAGGTAGATCCAGTCGGTATACACCTGGTGGTTGGCGATCATCACGAGGCGCTCCGGGAACTGGGTTTTCAACTGTCCATCGACCAGGTGGATTTGACCTCGCACGCTGTGATCCCCACTGACACGAACATAAGTCGGACACCCCCACTGGGTGAGGGCGGTGATGACCAGCCCGAAGGATTGTTTGGTCGAGGCCATGTACGAGTAATACCAGCGTTTGTTGAGCAGGTACAGCGGGGCGCCGACCAACTGGGTCGCAAAGATGACGAAGCAGCAGCAGTTGAACCAGGCTCCCAGGAGCAGCGACCGGACGACCTGCATGGGGATGCCATGTTTTAACCGGGGTTCTTCATCCTTTCGAGCGACGTGGGAGGTTGTCTCGGGGGGCTCTTGATTTCGGTGTCGGAGCGCGGAACCGTCCATGGTTGTATCGTTTACTGTACTGTTTTCTATCTTGTGCAAGGCTGTTTCCTCAAGGACAGGGAAGCTTCACGGACCGAACTCGTCAGTGGATGAATTCCTTCTTTATTGACTAGGGTCACGACGTACAAAGAAAAGCGGTGTCTTTTGCCGCTGACGGCACACCGGGGAGGATATAGGATCCGTCGGAGTAGATGGAGAGTCGGTCGTGGTCGTTTCTTGACGCCAACAAAGATAGCTAACAAAAGAAAAAAAAAAGAAAAAAAAGAAAAAAATACCGGGAATTCAAAAACCGAGGATAAGAAGATCCCATGAATCCAGAGGAGTGTCAGGTGGATCAAGAGTTGCCTGTGGATGTTTTGGGCTGAGAGAACAAACGACTGGATCTCGTGATCCCGATCGGAGCATGACGTTTTCTGCCGCAGCCTCGGCCTTTATCCCCTGGGCGGTCAGCAGCCGATCTTCTCGTATTCCTCCCTCTCTTCATCTTTCCTGTCAATCAATGGTGGACATCTGTCGAGTGACTAACTGACTTGAGTCTGACTAGGTAATCCGAATCTCAATCAAAATATGCAGTCCATCCGTTCAAGGACCTTTTGACATGTTCCACAAGTCCTGGACTAAGGACGCCATATAGAAAGTGGGTCCAGGCTGGATCAGGTATGGCAGGACGACCCGTGGGTCAGGTTGATTGGGATAGATTATCTTACTGCGATTGGTATGAGACCATTTCAATTACTATATTAAAGTTGGTTTGTTCTTATGATATTAAGGTCTGGTTATCAGTGCCATGGCTGAGTCATGTACACAGGAAAGTGCGCCACGCGCGATGGTGGATGATGCTCAACCACGTTGACCAATTCAGCCATAGTGTGGAATGTGGAGTTTCTCTTGTCTCCTTCCCCTCTTGAACGGGGGGGTCAACATCAATCGAACTGCGCGTTTCGTCCCCTCGAACCGCGTGGATGGAGAGATCCTTCTATCCGTACCAGGGTGAGACACTGAGACAGAACAGACACCACTGCTACGTGGGACGGAGAATCCGCCTAGAACGACAGACCGAATCAGGCTGACCGTCCAGGGCTTGATCTGACTAATGGATGAAATTATAGTCTGGATCAAACCAATGGAAGACAAGTCTCAGCGTCTCAAACCGAAAAAAGGAAAACAAACAGTAAATCAATCAAATCAATTCCGTTCGAGAATAGAGTGACAATGAACGAAGAGAGCAAGAGAGGATGAATGAATGAAAGGAAGGAAATTCAGTAATATCGAAGGATGGGGGATCCCCCTTGAAGGAGTGAAACCTTCTTGTTTGGACCTTCAACCTCCCTGTCACTCTTTCTTTCTGCCCTCTTAATTAACGGTTGGGACTTACTTTACCATTGCCTACTTTCCTCCCCCTCTTCTTCTTCGTCTTCTCCCTCCCTCTCCCTTTCTGGCTCCTTCTTTCCCGCCTTTTCTTCCTCCCCTTTTTCTCTTCTTCCTCCCATCCCCCCCCCTCCTCTTTCTCCAGTCTTCTTTCCTTTCTCTCTCTCTCTCTCTCTCTCCACCAATTGATCGGTTCAATTGAGAGATTGTTGAACGCTCAATCCTGCAGGTCAGTGGTGACTTGGACTTGGATCACTGTGGTCTCTCGTCGCGTTATCATCTGAGTCAAACGGGGAAATTGTGCATCTCCCGCCTGGAGCCTCCTCGCAAGGGCGAGGATTCTCTGGTTTCTCAACCTGCAGGTCGGAAGTCAGGTAAGATCGCATTTCCTTTCTCTGAAGCAACCCGAGCGGAACAGCAGCGAAAAGTAAAAAGGACAAGAGAAAGAGATGAAGGGTCTTCAGACAAGATTCTTGACTCAAGTCAAGTCAAATTACCCCACTGTCTCCGCGCGATCTATATGTTTTCCCAGACACCCGCACGGTTGGGTGTACACCACCGTCGGCCTGGTCTAGCTTGCAGGATTTCCCTCTCTCTCTCTCCCCTCCCATTTTTGATGATATGGGGGAAGGGTTGTTCTTTGACCTTTCCTTTCTGTGCCTTTCTTTAAACAGTAGAAGCCAGAATTCTAACAGCCAAGCAGTCAATCATTCACCCCGTTACCCCTCCGCGCCCTCGAACAAACACCCCACACCCACCCCCTGAATTCTTGTGTGTCCCTCCTATTGGCCTTGCTTGCGCTCCAGTGCAGAAGGGTCTTATGGAAAGTAAGTGGGCCATTTCTTAGGTCGTTCACTCCCGATCAGACCTGTTTCAATCCAACCTTTTTTTTTTTCCTTTTTCGAGGGGGCGACTCTTCATCTTTTCTTGTTTGCTTTTTTTTTTTTTTTTTTTGTCTTGTGGTGGTTCTGGTTCCACGTAGTCTTGCATTCCGCGTGTGCATCCCTCCATGTTCCTAAACGGTCTTTCCCTCGCAGGATGTATTCCCCCGATCAGTTCATGAACCCTGGGCCAGCCCCTCGCCCGCCCGCCGAACGTCCCAAGCTCAACCTGGCCCCAAACCCCTCCGGTGCCGCCACCTCATTCAGCCAAATGAGTCTCAATTCACCCTCGACCCCGGGGTCCGCGAACCTGTCCCTGTTCCCCAATACTAGCTCCCCCTCGCTCGCTCAGGTCAAAACCAACCAGTCCAGCCAGGGCAGCCTCTCGGTCGTCAAGGAGGGCTTCGTCCGGTGCAAGGAAGACAAGTTTCTCGCCACGTGGAACCAGCGATTTCTGACCCTGCGCGAATTCCGCCTGGATTTTTCCAAAAATGAGACCGGCAAGGTCGTTCTCTCCATCCCGCTCTCCACCGTCACCGGCGTCTCGCGGTCGGAAGATACCCGCATGGCGTTCGAGATCATCCGCTTGGCCAATCCCAAAGACGCCGGGGCCAAGGCCGCCGTCCTGTCCCGCGATGTGCCCACGAAGAGCATCACCTGTGAGGTCAAGACCGACGACGAGATCTATGACTGGATCGACAAGATCTACGAGCGCTGCCCGGGCATGGGCGGCGTGAGTAACCCCACCAACTTCAGCCATCGCGTTCATGTCGGCTTCGATCCGCACACGGGAGCCTTCGTGGGCCTGCCGCCCGAGTGGGAGAAGCTCCTGACCTCGTCGGCCATCACCAAGGAGGACTACAAGAAGAACCCCCAGGCCGTCATCGAGGTCCTCGAGTTCTACTCCGACATCAAGATGCGCGAACAGAACCCCGAGTACTACTCGGGCATGTCCTCCGGCCCGCAGCAGTCGAAGCCCTTCGGCAACAATGGCTCCGTGGGCAGCTCCATCGCCCCGCCGCGACCCCCGCCGCCAGGCCCCGCCCAGCGTCTGGACACTGGCATGCCCGGTCGGGGGCTCAACTCCTCCCCCGTCAACCCCCACGGCAGACCCGACGCGGATCGCTCGGTGGCGGAGCAGCAGCAACAGCAGCAACTGGAGCGCATGAAGGAGATGGCGGAGCAAGAGCGTCGCCGCGTGGAGGATGACGCCCGGCGCGCCCGCCAGCGGGAGGAGGAATACGAGCGGATGGAGCAGGAGGCCTACAACGCCTCGCTCCCCAAGACCCGCGCCCCCACGGCCAAGCAGGAACTAGGCGGCTATAGCCCGGAGCCGTCCATGAATGACCGCTACAAGCCCAGCCGCCCCGCCCCTCAGGCGCCGGGCGCCGGGCGGGGGCCGCAGGAGCGCCAGCTGACCGCCCAGCGCCCCGCGCCGTCAGCGCCGACGGCCTCGAACGGACGGGCGCCCGACCAGTCCGCCCCGGGCTCCCGCTACGCGCCGCCGCATGAGCCCCGCTCCCCGTACGCGCCCCGCGCGCCCCCGAACCACGGCCCCAAGCAGCATGCGCAGGGCCCGCCCCCGTCCAAGCTGCCGGCCCCCGTCCAGCCGGTCAAACCCCTGAACATTGCCAACAAGCAGGGTGCCCCCAAGCCGGGCGTCTCGGATGGCGTCCGCCAGGCCGAGGCCGCCTTGACGAAGAAGGCGGAACAGCCCCGCCAGAAGGAGGTTCGCATGTCGGCCATGTCCGAGAACGAGGTGATGGACCGATTGCGGTCCGTCGTGTCCAAGGACAACCCCAACGAATCATACAGCAAGCAGCGGAAGATCGGACAAGGTGCCTCCGGGTCCGTGTACGTGGCCCGGGTCAAGGAGCATGCCACCTCACCGGTCGCTCATGAACTGTACCGGCAGTACGGGCCCCGGTGCCAGGTGGCCATCAAGCAGATGGATCTGCGCAGCCAGCCGCGGAAGGAGCTGATCGTGAACGAGATCATCGTCATGAAGGACAGCCAGCACGCCAACATCGTCAACTTCCTGGACTCGTTCCTCCAGGAGTCGAGCAACGAGCTCTGGGTGGTCATGGAATTCATGGAGGGCGGTGCGCTCACGGACGTGATTGACAATAACCCGGTGATCCAGGAGGATCAGATCGCCACCATCTGTGTCGAGGTGCGTGTTTAACACCCCCCCTATATTTACCTTAACAAGATCATACTGACCACCGCAGACCTGCAAAGGATTGGCCCACCTCCATAGCCAGAACATTATCCACCGTGATATCAAGAGTGACAATGTCCTTTTGGACCGAGCGGGCCACGTGAAAATCAGTACGTTTTCTCCCTTCCTTTCTTTGTGATCGATTATGTCAATACGATCAATCCTATGGCATTTTGACTGACCACCCATCTAAAGCCGATTTCGGGTTCTGCGCCAAACTGACCGAGTCGAAAAACAAACGCGCCACCATGGTGGGTACGCCATACTGGATGGCCCCTGAGGTGGTGAAGCAGAAGGAGTATGGTCCCAAGGTCGACTGCTGGTCCTTGGGTATCATGGCGATCGAGATGATCGAGTCCGAGCCGCCGTACCTGAACGAAGAGCCGCTCAAGGCGCTGTATCTCATCGCCACCAACGGGACGCCCCGGCTGAAGAAGCCCGAGAAACTGAGCAAGGAGCTCAAATCCTTCTTGAGTGTCTGTCTCTGTGTTGACGTCCGCAGCCGAGCCACGGCCGACGAGTTGCTGGCGCATGAGTTCCTCCGATCGGGATGCAGCCTTGCGAGCCTAGCCGAACTGCTCCGCTGGAAGAAGAACAGTCAATGATCTCGATGATCTAATTTTTTTGCTTTTCCGCGTTGTTCTTCTACCGGACAGTCAATTTCCCCTCCCCCTGCACGATTTACACCAGATCTGGCCTCACGCACATATGGGTACCATTTACGCCGCCTCCGGTTGATTTTGCTATTCCTGACGACCTGCATTGATTGCACTTCAATTTTTCTCTCGTATGATATCCAACCCAAAACAGCTTCGTCAGCAGACTTGGCGTGGATGATTGGGCGTTTTTTTTTTTTTTTTTTTTTTCCTTCTTGGGAGTTCGTTCCCACTTGGTTCGTTTTGATGATCTCTGATACTCTTGATCTGATTCATGGCGTGGCTATGCTCTTCTTCTCTTGTTCACCTTTTTTCTTCTTCTTCACTTCTTCACCCTTTTTTCCCATCTGGCCACCGACCCGGGCTGATGGCTCCGCGATGCGGTCGACCCAGGGGTCATGGATGTACATGTCCTAAGGACAGGACCGCGAGGAACAACCAGTATGTATGGATTGGGGCACAGACTCCAAGGTTATGAGTTCGCGGTGGGATCAAATAATTTGTTTATAGCAAGCGACTCTATCAGAGAAATAAATTATAGACCACTAATTACCATGCATGTTTACACTTGACTTATTGGATTGTGTTGAAGATAGGAAGTGATCAGATGAGTAGGCTCCAAAGCAATTGAATTATCATTGTCAATAACGTACATGAATTCGTTTAAAGAACACCGGGAGAGAAAGGAAATTATAGAAAAGCAAATAAAGGCACCATTCTCCAGGCTTTTTTTTCCTTTTTCTTTTTCATCTTTCTTTCTGCTCTGGTGTCTTTATGCTTCCACACCTGGTGATTGATTGATTGGTTGATTGATTGATTGGGAAGGAGTAGAGCAATGGGATACACATGCTCAATCCAGTCCTATTGAGAAACTTATCTGTGTATCAATCAATCAATAATCAACCAACCAGCCCAGATAAAAACCAGCTCAAACCCGATCAAAAACATGTCAACAAAACCAGTAAGTAGAAAAACAAAGTAAAATAATTAATAAGAAAGATACATATAGAGTCATTATCAAACCCGCGCCTCCGCCGCGCAGACCTCCCCAAAGAGCACATCACCCTGCAACAAGGCATCCAGGTTCTCATTCTCATCATTGTCTTTACTTTCTGCTTCTGTTGAAGGAGAAGACGACGACGACAAAAGCCCCCCGTCAACCAGTTGCTTTTTCCAGACGGCTTGGTCTTGGCCGGAGAGGTCGGACCAGAGGTGCTTGATTTGGTCGTGGGGGCTTCTGGTGGGGACGAGGTAGAGGAGGTCGATGAGGAGGTTGTTGGTTTCGGGGTTGCATGTTATGGAGAGGAGGGGTTTGGTTTGACCTTGGTCTTGGGTTGTGTCTTGTTGGTGTTGGTGCTGGCGGGCTTGGAGGATGATGTTTTGGAGGGGGGAGGAGGAAGAGGAGGAGTTGAGGTTTAGGGTTGGGATTGCTGGTGGGGGAGAAGAAGGAGATGATGAAGATGATGAGTCCTCTGAACGGGGTCGCAGCGATGTCGACGAATAAGTCTTGTAAGGGATGACGACAGCGTCGTAAATATCCGGCGGGAGATAGTCCGCGACGCCTAGATGAGGAGGCAGGGCGCCACGGATCTCGCCAAAGGCCTGGACGAGGAAGCAGACGATGAGGATGGAGAGGAGGGCGGTGGAGGCGCCTGCGAAGCTGGACCAGACGCTGGACTCGCCGGGGATGGAGAGCACGTAGCGCGGGGTGCGGCTGGATGCTGGGACGGGGGCCAGCGGGAAGGTGTGCACGACGACGGTGTTGCCCATGCTGACGGAGGCCAGCTTGACGGACTGGGGGGGCGTCTCGGGGGTGACGGGGTGGGCGGGCGGCGTGAAGTGCGAGAAGCAGGTTTTTGTCACGGAGAAGGGGTGCACGTCGCGGAGGGTGGTGTAGACGCGGAACTTGTCGAACCCGCTGGTTCGGCGCCAGCTGCGAGGGTCTGACTCGAGCGTGATGACTTCAATTGACTGGTCGCTGCCTGTTACGGCGACGATCGTCTGCTGCCGGTTGTCGAGGTCTTTGCCGAGGGTGCAGACGTCCATGCCTAGGCCGATCTTCATCGTGCTGCGGAGCTTCTTGCGTCGGACGATGGTGGCTGCCGCGGTGGGGGACTTGGGGTCCTTATTGTTCGGGGTCGCGGCTGGTCCCAGGTCGAGCAGGATGAGCTCGCAGCCGGTGCGGTCGGGGGAGTTCTGGAGCAGCAGCAGCGCAGTCGGCGACAGGAAGCGCAGAGCGCGGAACTTGGGCCTGCTGCGGGCGGCGGCTCCTTCGGGGCGAGGGATCGTGTACACGGTCTGCACATCGGGAGCGGCGTTCGACCGGGTGGTGGAGGAGATGCGGCAGAGGGACACGTCGCGCCCGTTAGTGTAGGCGACCTGGAACCGGCCCGGTTGGTCCTCCGACTCGATGATATCCACGTCCTCAGCCTCCTCGTCGTTGTCCAGACGGATGCGCCCGATCACGTCCGCGGAGGCGGGGGTCGAAGACGAGGCGTCGAAGAAGACGATCTCGCCCGACGGCGCGAGGCCCGTCGCGATCGCCGCGACCCGGGGCGACTCGCTCCCCTTCCACGGAGACAGCCGTGTTATCCGCTGGTAGGTGTCGCCGGTGCTGCCAGACTTGGTAGTTCGGAAGAGGGACTCGCGAGAGAGAGGCGTCGTCGTCCCGGTAGGCTTTTCCCGCGCGGGAGACTTCTTTTTCTTTTTTTTTCTCTCCGGGGACTCGGCCAGGGCCGATTTCCGAGGAGGATAGTCGATCTTAAACGATCGCAGGTGCTGGTTGTTGCCGCGCTTCTGTTCGGCGACGGAGCTGTTGATGCCGGCCAGGGCGACGAGAGAGTCGTCGGCTGCATGCGCCACGGCCAGCGAGGTCACCGAGTCTTCATCGCGCGACAATTCGATGTCGACAATTTCGGAGATTTCGTTGCGTTTGGAGGTGTTGAGGAGGGCCTGTGGGGATGACGTGCCGTGTTAGCTTACGGATGTTTTTTTTTTTCCATTTCTCTGCTTCTGTTTCTGGTTCTATTTTCGTTTCGTCTTGCTAAGTAGCTAAGTATAAAGAAAGAAAGTCACGTACAATTTTATTACCCACCCCACTGCGCCCTTCGCCGCCTCCGCCAGCAACCAGGAGGAAGCCCGGATTGCGCGGGTCGAAGTCGGCGGCGAAGAGGGGACACGAGAGCGTCAGCTTGGACGAGGGAACGCGGGGAGCCATAGTGGAGAGGGCGCGCGAAGCATCCACCAGAGGGGGCGAGAGGATAGAGAGGGTTCAATCAAGAGGAGGAGAGGTGGGGAAGAGAACAGATCGTCGGAGAAGGAGGACGATGAAGGTGGTTATTAGTGACTTGAGGACAACTGGAGGATTCCGTCTTTCCGCCCCGGATTTCTTGGCGTTGACTCTTACATTATACACAGCAGTCTATACGGGATCAAGGATTGCGACATGCTTTTTATAAACCTGTCCCCCAAAAATCATATTTATAGCTGGGGAATAATCTGAACGTCTAGGGAATAACTATCTGCGGACCATCTCTATCCCCATCTAATCGACCTCCTGGCCCGTGAACTCGGGCAGGCGCTTGCGGATATCCTCCCACGTCTCGTCGCCGTCCACGAGCGACTTGATCGCCTGGGTAATCTCATCCTCGCTAGCGCGGACTTGCTTCGTCGAGTCGCGGTCGCGCAGAGTAAACGAGTTGTCCTTGACCGACTGGAAGTCGACCGTGACGCCGAAGGGCGTGCCCAGCTCGTCGTTACGGGAGTACCGCTTGCCGATACTGGCGGACGAGTCATCCACGCGGTTCGACACGCCCATGCGGCGAAGCTTCATCATCAGGCGCTGCAACAGCGGGCGGAAAGAGGCATGGGACGACAGCGGAACGATTAGCACCTTGGTGGGCGCGATCACGGGGGGGAATGACAGAACCTAAAGATCAATCGGTTAGTGTCACGGACCAGGACAGAGACGCAGACAGGATACTTACTCCACGAGCCTCATCTCCCTCACGGGACCAGTAGGCGTGCTCCATCAAGCTGTACAGGATACGGCCGATACCGAAAGACGGCTCGATCACGTTGGGCGTGTACTCGCGCACGTTCTCCACGCGGGTGCGCTTCTCGATCTTGATGAGCTCCTTGTCCAGCTCGACCTTGCCGGAGCCGACGCCCTCGACGTCCACCTCGATCTTGCCCTGCTGGTCCAGATCCAGGGCCAGCTTCTCCCGGAACTCCTGGGACAGCGCCTCGACGGCCGCGGCGACGGTCTTGCCGTCCTTCTTGAACCGGGGACCGAACTTCTTCTTGTCCAGGTCGACCTGCCACTCCTCGACCTTGAGGGGCTCGGCGCGGGGCTCGCGCACGACCAGCGGGGCGCCGGTCTTGTTCTTGTGCACCGTCAGATCGTAGGCGCTGCGGTCGGCGCAGCCCACGCACTCGATCCAGCCGTAGCTGGTCTGCAACTCGGCGTCCCAGCAGTCGGCCGCGTAGTGGGCCATCTCGTTGGCCATGTGCTGGCGGAACCGCAGGCGCGTGGGGTCCACGCCGAGCTTGAGCAGGAACAGCTGGATGCGGGCGATGAAGTAGCCCAGGGTCTCGTTGTCGACCAGACCGGTCTCCACGGCCTTGCCGATGGTCATCTTGGTGACCTGGGTGCTGCCGGACAGCTGCACGTCGCGAGCCAGCAGGGCCATCTCGATGTCCTTGACCTCCTCGAAGCGCGCGTGCTTCTTGCCGGCCTCGGGGTCGACGTAGTGCTCGATCTCGGCCATGAGGAACTCGCGCACACGCAGGAGACCCGCGCGCGGCGAGATCTCATTCCGGAACGACTTGCCGATCGAGGCGGACGCGAAGGGCATGGACTGCTGGTTGAAGTCCAGCAGCTTCTGGAAGTTCAGGAACTGGCCCTGGGCGGTCTCGGGTCGCAGGTAGCCCGCGAGGTTGCCGCTGGGGCCGATGCCGGTCTGGAACATCAGGTTGAAGGCGACGGGCGGCAGGACGTTCCCGTCGGTCTGGGGGTTGCGGATGTCGTACTTGGCGATGATCTGCTCCAGCTCGGGACCACCGTAGTTGTCGATCTGGGCCAGACACTCCTCGTACTCCTTGACGACCGCGTCATCCAGCTTGATGGCCTTGGTCTCCTTGGACTTCTTCTTCTTCTTGGCCTCCTTCTCCTCGTCCACCACGACCTTCTGGCCACGGGCCTCCTTGTCGCCCTTGAGGCGGTTCTCCAGCACCTCCTCCACCAGGTGGTCCGCGCGGAAGATCTCCCCGGTCTTGGGGTCCTTGCACATCCAATCGGCGAACTTCTCAACGTGGCCACTGGTGCGCAGGACCTCGTCGGGGGTCAACATGGTGCAGTCGACCTCCATCATGTCCTCCTCCAGCACGAAATGTTTCCGCCACAGGTCGACGATGTTGTTCTGGACGGCGCAGCCGGGGGGACCGTAATCGTAGAGACCGGAGACACCGCCGTAGATCTCAAAGGCGGGGGTGTAGAAGAGTCGGCGACGGAGCATCGAGTCCAAGACCCCGCGGTCCACGACCTGACCGGTCTTGGTGGTGACGGTGGCCATGGTGGAATTCTTTTTCTTTTTGGAAACTTGAGCAGCAGCGAAAGCGGGCGAGCGGACGGAGAAGGCACGGGAGGATCGAGCAGCAGTGGTGGTGGTGGAGGGGAAAGAGTTGACAGAGGGGGAAATGCGACAAGGATTTAAGTGAAGGCGGGGCACAAGAAAAGGAAATCGTCGCAGTAAAACCGAAACAGGCAATTGAGTCATCCACTCCCACGTGAGCGGCGAGACAACCGCTAACCAAGGGCAAGAGAAGGGTTAAAATACAGTATAATACAGGGGGAGGAGGGAGGGCGAGGGTACGAAAGACCGAGAGATGGCTATAAAGGCATGTAGAAGAGCAGACCAGAGCAATTGACCCAATATCTGAGGAAGAAGAGGAATGATCGTTGTTGATTGAACTGATGTTGAGTGATGCTCTGCTCGACTCAGGAACAATCCCGGAGATTCCTAACTTTTCAGGCTGTCACCGGCCAAACGTTCCCCCGCCCGCCGCTTTTTTTTTTTTTTTTACTTTAATTTTGTATGAGGATCACCACGAAGACTAATATCATATATTGACATTCCACCCACACATCTCACAATGGGCTCTAGGAAAACCGTGCGCAGACCGCCCACCAGCGTCGAATCCGACATCAAACCCGCCAACAAACTCCGCCGCAAGGCACTGCACATCAAGCGCAAGAAGAACAAGGACGTCACGCGGCGCGAGGCCCGATATGCAGTCAAGAAGGAGGAATCCAAGAACCCACGACTCCGGGAGGAGCGTCTTCGGCAGAATATCCCGTTGACGCTGGACCGGAAGCGTGTGTGGGATGACGGCGCCGGCAGTGACGCCGAGGGCGACGGACTCGGACTGAGTGTCGATGTGGAGCGCATCAAGCGACAGAAGCAGGAGGAGGAAGACGAACTGAACCGCCCGCTGAAGAAGAGCGAGCAGTCAGATGGGTCGGAGGATAGTGACGACGATGATGACAACGACAGTATGTTGGCTAGTGACGACGAGGACGAAGACGGAGAGGAGGGAAGCGACGAGGACAACGACCGCGGCCGCTCGAAGCAGCCGAGGAAGTCAGGCCTGCCGTCCGCGACAGAGCGCGCGACAAGCCCCTCGCAATCAACACGGAGCACAAACCTGAGCCTCGCGCCCGAAGCCCTCGCCGCCAAATTCCCGACCCTCTTCAACGGCGAGATGCCCACGACGCCCAAGATCCTCATCACGACCGGCCGCCACGGAACCCTCCACGACGAGGCCCAGACCCTCACCGGCCTCTTCCCCAACAGCACGTACATCAAGCGCAGCGCGCACCGGTTCTCCTACGAGTTCTCCATCCGGGAGATCGCCAAATTCGCCACAAACCGCAACTACACAGCGCTGGTCGTGCTGCAAGAGGACCAAAAGCGACCATCCGCGCTGGAAGTCATCCACCTTCCACAGGGCCCGTCCTTCCACTTCACCATCAGCAACTGGATCGCCGCGAAGAAGATCCCCGGCCACGGAAACCCGACAGAACACTGGCCGGAGCTGATCCTCAACAACTTCCGCACGCCGCTGGGTCTGCTGACGGCCCATCTCTTCCGCTCGCTGTTCCCGCCGCAGCCCGACATCGAGGGCCGCCAGGTCGTCACGCTGCACAACCAGCGCGATTACATCTTCGTGCGCCGCCATCGCTACATCTTCCGCGAGAAACGCGAGACCGAGAAGGCTGTCGTCGGCGCCGACGGCAAGGAGATGAAGGGCGCGGAGAACCTCAAGGCTGGGTTGCAGGAGCTGGGACCCCGCTTTACGCTGAAGCTGCGCCGGGTCGATAAGGGGATCCAGCGGGGGAGTGGGCAGGAGTGGGAGTGGAAGGGAGGGATGGAGAAGAAGCGTACATTGTTCCAACTGTGATACCTTTTCTTTACTTTTTTTCATATATCTACACTGTCTTTTGCATTGTCATATAGGGTTCTGGGCGGAGTTTGGTTCTCCAATAAAAGAATGGTGTTTATCACATGCTATTCATCTCTGCTTGTACACAACTAAATTAGCCAGTTTGATCCATGAATCTTTTGTTACAGACCAATGATTTAGCTCTTTCAATCTTCTTGATTCCGAATATAGAGTACGGTGTAAATGTATTACATTTGAAACAAAAACATAATATATATCATCATATCATCATCTCAATCAAACATCGACTCCAATACTTTGTGGATGTCTCCTCCCCGAACCAGTGGATTGACTTGCCTCGCAAAGTACCCCGAGCGCATCAGTAGCACCCATAGCTGTCAAGCTAATCCTGCCCAGCAGACTGCATCAACCGCTGCATCACCTCATTCCTCCTCCGCTCCTTGGCCTGTTTGCGCGCAAACGGCTTCCTCGCAGTAACGATATGGACACGGGTCGTTACGCGGTGGGCCGTCATGAGCTCGTCTCTGACCTTAGCGCAGAGGTCGCGGACCGCGTCGGCCGTCCACTTTTTCGTGGCGGTCAATTGGCGCAGGCTGTAGGCCTCGAGCCCCTCCATCACTGCGATGAGGGCCATCTTGCCTAGTGTTTTATCGCGGGGATCATCGGGCCACAGGCCGATGGGGATCGTTCGCTCTTGAACGCGGACGTCGACGAATCCGGCTGCGGTAAGAGCGCTGGGCCGTAGGTGGCTTAGGTCGCGGCGGTAGCCGGATGCCTCGGCTGCGGATCGCATGGCGGAGGCGAAGATGCGGAGGTAGGAGTCTCCTGAGTGGGGGAAGTTCAGGGTGTCTGCGGCGGGGTCGGCGTCGGCGATTTCGATGTATCCTCCTGGGCCCAGGTGTCGGAAGGCTTGTTGGTAGACTGATTGCCAATCGGCGAATGCGCCGGATAGCCCACGGAGGTGGATCAGGTCGAATGGCTCGTGGTATGTCCATTCACCCTGGGCGTCGTCGAGCTGGAAGAAGATATTGGGGACATCGACATTGCCTAGGCCGTTATCGAAGAGGCCGATGTCCGAGGCGATGATGGTGGCGCTGGGGTGCATGCTGCTCATCTCGATGGCCCAGTCGCCGGTCCCGGTCCCGATGTCCAGTATACGAGGCGCATGCTTCACGAGGGGCACCGTGGTCAATTTGCCGTCTAGCAGGATCAGATAGATCTGGTGTACAATGTTCAAGCGCGTCTGTTCAATCTCGTCGTTGGGCATGAAGTAGGTTTCGTTACAATACCGGCGGTCGTTCTCGATGACGAACTCGATGCTCTGCGCCTCGAAAGATTTTGTGGAGTTCCTGAAGCCATTAGCTACTGAAGTCTAGTCAAGCAATGGATACTTGGGCACTAACCCCGAGACGTCTTCATCGGAGTCCGAGTCCGGCTCGGAGGTGACGTCGTTCGCCCACGGCTGCTCGTCGGTCTTCATACGATTGTTCACTTCCACTGTCGGGAGGAAACCCCGGTTCGGTAGCTGGATAGATGTCTCCTCCATGACATGGCGAAGTCGGGGAATGAGGTGGGAAAGGGTGGACAGCCCGGCGCATGTAGATCAATGCGATCACAGTCCCAGGACGGCCCGGCGTGAATGGCCGGAGGCTCGTTCACGCCTGCAACGCGAAGGATTCGATCACACAGCAGGGGGGTGGAAGAAAGAAGTCACGGATCGATGTTGCGGTGATCGGATCTCGCAGTGAAAACGAAGGGGCGAAGAATCGCGGCTTTCACCAAAAGACTGGAAGGTTCTTGACGATTATATAGCGATCTGGCTGCTGGGATAGAGCCTGTGCTTTTTATGGCGATAGGTGGATTGAAAGTTGAGGGGAAGCAGGTGATGGTGTGGAATTGAAGCCGGTCTCTAGAACACTGGCTTCATGCACTGCACGTTGCTACCAGATTCATGTGAAAGGTAGAATGTGTCTGTGGACGGAGGGGTGAGGGGCGGAGATTTGAGGGGAAGGTCAGGGTAGTTTGGGGGAGGGAGAATGAAAAGGGTAGAAGAGCGACCAGGTGATTGTAATAGAAATAACCAGAGAAAAAATAAGATTAAATTGGACTCTAGTCTTCCAGCAACGGAGGGAAAGCGTATGGTCAGAGCAAAGACTGTTGGGAATTAGGGAGTCGCATCTAGCGTCTGGAAGCAGCAGTTAGTGTGTATGGTCGGGATCAGTTCAAACTCAAATGGGGGAGACCTGTTAAATTTTTATTTATTTTTCTTACTTTCATTTGATTTCATTTTTAAAATTCGTTTTTAGCCCAAACCGGAGCCGACAACCAGGAAGGCTGGAAGCAACAATGCTCTCTCAGGCTTGAAGGCTTGCGCCTGATGGACCGAGGACCAACAGATGGATGAATCCCTCAAGCTCCTGGACCCATAAGAGTGGTAGGATGTTCGGGACAGCGCACTGGTACCACTTCCTGCACAATGGCGGACCCAGCCTGGAGGGACCGTTCTGCGATCGTCCGGCCCATTTGTCAATCGGGGACTGATTGTGGACTGAAGTGTGGATAGACTGACCAAGTCTAGGGACGGACGAGACGGACCGTAATCGAACAGACCCGCGAAACAACCGGCTGGTCTAACACGGAGGAGCTGACAGGTTGCCATTATTCCAGTATTCCTAGATCAGCGTTTTCCTCTCTTTGGCTTCATTTTTTATTCTGGCCCTTTGTCTCTCTCCCTATTCCCGGAGAAAACTTACCGTTATACTCCGGACACCGTATTCCAAGCTCGTATAAGCGTTCCGTCTCAGAAACGGCAAAAGTAACCAGAGAGCGAACCCTGGTCCTTGGGACAGGGTAACACTGGGATTTTCGCCGACCGGGCTGCAAACCAGCAGGGCGGCGCAGACTAGACCAGGTCGTGGGAAGAAATCCAGGTCGATGATAGGTTGGGGGAAGCTAGGCGTCATTAGCGTGGCGTCGTGGCATGAGGACCGGAAACTCACTCGTGCAGCTTCCGCGCAACCGGGATGGGGAGGGGGGACACTTTCCCAGAGAAGTATGGAGCTGCAGGCGGCTGCATGTCGGGTTGGCGATGGAGAAGGGGTGAGAATGGCGCTCATGCGCTATTTCAGTTGCACACGTCGGTCGGTACCATTATTTATACTGTCCCCCCGTCCATGGTTTAAAATGGTTGTTTTGTTGAGATCGTACAGGGGACGCAGACGACGGGCTGGAATACAAGATATCGTGAACCCCACTGTCAATAAAATTGGAAATCGGGGAGAGAGTCGGGGAGGACACGATGGAGACCAGAAGGAATGAATGGCCCATGAGAGAAATGAAAAATGGAGATCGTGCATATCACACTATTCCACCCTCGACAAGTCCCCGGCGGGAATCGGTTATATCCTCACCCCTCCATGCCTTTTACCAAGACTGCTATTCAGGTCGTCTGTCTTCGTTGATCAGGGTCTGGATCCACGCGAGTCAATTAAAATGACCCTTGAATCGAGGGTCTCTGAGTCAACAGTCGATGGCCCCGCCATTATCGACGATCTCCCGCTTCCTGGGCAGTAAACCCCCGTACAAACCATGATAGATGATACGGATTGTTGACTCTCCAACCTGAAACAGGGGACCTAGGCGATCTAAGCGAGGTGGTCTTCTGGACCGTCCTGCATTCAGGTTGCCGGGATGCTCGGCCGATGCACGAATCATGAAACAGGCTCCATAGCGTGTCGGCCACCGTCGAGTCATGCACGGTACTAGGTTGTTCAATCAGGATTGTCACCGAAAGTGAGCAATCTCATCACTGATTAAAACATCAGGCCATTCCGACAAGCTCAATCTAGTGGAGAATGACACGATGTGTCGGGTGGTTGGCTGAGTTCGACAGATCGATAGATTGGACTCAAAACTATACGAGATATACTTCGAGAACACACAAACACAGACTAAACCCGTTTGGGCTAGTCTAACTCGATCGAGCAACGGCCACGCGCCTCACGAATCAGGAACCAAAAAACTTGAGCTTCAATCTCATCTACCTACCTACCTACTATACTACCAATATTATACACCAATCCATACACATACACCACTAAACTACACACATACATACATACACAACAAAGAAAAGACCAATGTCACTCAAAACCCCCCAACGCATCCTCTTCATCGCCTCAATCGGCAACCCCCGACCCTACCGCTCAACCCGGCACAGCGCCGGGCACATCCTCCTCGATGCGCTGACGCCCCTCCTCGCCGTGCGCATGCCGTTAACCTCCTCCCAACACCAATCGTCCTCAGGACCCCTCTTCTACAAAACCTACCTCAGCCCATCCTACATGAACGAGTCAGGCCCGAAACTCGTCCGACAGCTCAAGAATTGGCTCTCGACGACGCAGACGGATATATTCGAGCGGATTGTTCGGCCGGGTTTTATACGAGATCCTACAGCTACAACTACCCCCACAACCACTACAACCACCAGTGACAGCGCTCCCAAGACAACCCACCCAGAATGGCACCGCCGCGGCACAGACCCATCAACCCTCAAACACCTCCCCCCAACCCTCATCATCCTCCACGACGAGCTCGAATCCCCCCTCGGCAAAGTGCGCGTCAAACGCGGCGGGCCCGACCAAGCCAGTCTCCGCGGCCACCGCGGCCTAATCAGTGTATTTGAGTCTCTGCGCGGAAAGGGCCTATACCCCGCGCGGGCCGATGCGACAGCGGCGCATGGAGAGCTATCCGTCTTGCGCATTGGGGTTGGCATTGGAAGACCGGAGACGAGGGGGCGGGGAGATGTTGCCAAGTATGTTCTGACGGAGATGAGTCCGAAGGAGGTTGCTGCTGTTAGGGGGGCGGCGGGGCAGGTTGTGGATGTTTTGGCGGATGAGTTTTATTGGGAGGGGGATTCTAAGTGATTTTCTTCCTTTCTTTCTCCCGATCCAACCTTTTTTTTATTTTATTGAAGACATGCTTGTATGATTGCATAGTATAGAAGTGCTTAGAGATACCCATTTAGTTTACCCATTTAGTTTACCCATTTAGTTTTGGAACCACATGTCGATCTGGAATATCATGTTTTGTCGCCCTTGGGAAAGTTCTTGTCACATCGTAAGTGTAACCACAGGTTGTAATAGATATCCACGGTCATCAGAAAAAGGACAATATGCTATCATCGCAAACATAAGCTATCATCGAATACAAGGGGTGAAAAGAAAGGAAATCAGTATAAAGCGAACAAAAAAAACCGTCTCTGGCAAAATAAAATAAAAGAAAAGGGAAAAAAATATCAAACACCCCCAAGTGCAGATCGCACAAAAATTGAAAAAAGAACAAAGACGCCAACTAAACAGTCCCAGCTATGCTCAGATCCCGAATTTCCTGCAACACCTCCTCAACCCGATTATCAAGATCTCCCCGCGCGTACTGATCTCTCGTCTCCGCATCGAGGTACTGCTGCACCTGGGCCATGCGCGAGTACGCCTCGGCGCAGAACCGCAGCTGGATCTTGACGAGGGCCTCGAAGCTGGGGTCGAGGTAGGGCACGCGGAGGTCGATCAGCTGCGGGAGCTCGGTGAAGAGCTGCTCGTTTAGCTGCTCGTAGGCCTGCTTGGCAATTTCGGTCTCGCGCTCGGTGCGGGGCAGCTTGGTGGCGTCCTTGTCGGGCTTTTCGACTAGCTTCTTCACCTTGGCGCGCATGGCGTCGTAGTCGAGGAGTTTGTGATTGCGCTTCTTGATGCACTCGTTGATGTCGGGGAAGTAGGCGCAAAAGCGGGATATCGGTTCGAGGACGGTTGTTCTACCCAGGTAATCAGCTGCTGTCGCGGATTCAACCTCCCCCATTAGCCCATCTACGCAAACCATACCTGTACGGCCCATCCAACGCCTTGATCGTCTCGGTATCAAGATCCTCCACAGCCTGCTTATAGCTCCTGCTCACGCCATCCTTGGTACCCGCATCGCCATAGAAAGCATCTATCGTCTCCGCGATGCGCATCTGCGAAGCCGTCATCGCTGCACCAAGTCAGTCCCTCTTCTCACCCAACTCCCCATCAACATCAATAACATACCACGCAAAGAGTCCAAATATCCCTTGGCTTCTTTTTGCAAACGATTGGCCGCAGCCTCCATAGTCCGATACCGTCTAGCACTCCCATCAGTCTCCAATGCTCAGCCTGCCGGTGTGGATGATACCGTACCGCTCTTCAATCTCATAGTCGCGATCATTGGTTCGTTCCACATGTCCTGTCCATCCAAGAGTCAATCATCCAAGAGTCAATCATCCATACGTCCCACGTGCTAGTGCATTCTGCTGCAAGGCGATAGAGTAAAGTGCCACCGATATTGCGGCGCAGGAAGTGGGGGGTGGGAGGGAGTGGTGGCAGGGGGGTAACAAACCCGCTTTCATCATCACCTGCGTCGTGGCGCGGTTGACATTCTTCTTGAACCCTGAACCGTGATAAATCACATGTCAGTATCTCCGCAGCAGAAAGAAGGTGGGGGAGGTCGGGAAATTTGCGCACCTGCCCAAGACATGATGGCGAAAGGTGGTTACAATGCCCCAGGCGGAAGCGAATCAGTCGGTGAGGGCGGGAGAGTCTAGAATCGCAGGGGTATCAAAGGGGACGAAACAAAATGAACTACACTGATAGAGTACAGTGAAGCTAGAATGTAGTGGAGTAGAATTGGTAAATCAGTCGATGACAGCAATGGCGAAGGAGGGGAGAGAGCGTTGTCGCAGGGCTGAATCGAACCGGAGATGCCCAATGGATTGCGGGATGAACGAGAGATTCCCAGTGTGGCTTGGGGGTGGCTGTGGTGTATTGTAATTACCGTACATATCTTTACCTCTATAACAACGTTCAGCCTGGGAGCCTTCCAGCCCTACGCCAAGGCCAGACCATATTTTACCAGTACTTACTGGGTACGATACTCTTGTAAATCAGTAAGCCAACCACGGAACCAACCGGTCCATCATCCTCTCGTTACGTCATGTCTAAAACGCTGCGGCCTGGTCGCCAAGTCTGGAACGACCATCTCGAACCGCAATGGTGATGTCAGTCTAATTGGAGTCATTAAAGTTACTGGCAGGGTGGCCACTGCAAATCTTCTTCAGATTGAGGGATTGTGATTCGTTTTGGCGCTCAGGGACGGGGATTCAGTTCCTGATTCTGGGTGTAAAAAGCGGCATTATCAGACACTAGTACTATGAGTGTATCATTCCATTTCTACAGTACTTAAATCAACCACAACTCAATATAATATAATATGACATAGAGTGAAGTGGATTCATCGCTCTGGCGTAACACCGGTCCGCACCCTAGTCTAGGTTCACCTGACGAGATGCCATGCAATCCTGCCGAAATTGGCGCCGTTGGTTAATACCGTTCAAGTAAGTACAGAGTATACCCAGTAGACTTGAGTAGGTGAGTCTCCCCCGTACGGCATCAATCCAAGACTCCCTCAGTCAGGTAATAATGATATCCCTTTAGTCACACCGATAAAGAGACCAGTCTTGTCTCGGACAACCAAATCCCAAATGTCCGCTCATGCATCAAGATTAATAATAACAATTAGTCATGGCTACCATCGTGACCATCACCACCACAACACCCAGACTGGCCCCGCCAAGTCATCCCTTACGGAGAACATTCCAAGGAAAAAGGACCCGTAGGGCAGCAGCAGCAGCAGCGCAGCATACCGCAACAGTTTCAGGCGGGGTTGTGTCTGGTCTAGATGGGGCCACTGACGACCTTACATAGGTCAGCAAGTGCCGAGCATATTCGACTTTATCAAGGCAGGTTAGTAGATGAGTGGGTTAGATACCTATATAAGTAAGTGCCCCATTCCTGACAAAACGATGCTGCCTAGACAGACATCGGCATTGCATTTCCCATGCTCCTCATAAACAATGCCAAGAGATTCCTCGTTCCAAGCGGTGACCAGGTCGGTTATGAAATGAAGTGGCACCCAGCCAGCCAGCCAGCCAGCCAGCCAGCCAGTCCAACCCTACCTACCTACATCATAAAGGAGCTACTTAGTAGATCGTCAATCTCCACAACTCCTAGAAAAGAATGGGGCCTTTCTTCCTTCCTTCGTAATCTTGTGGTCAATGATCCAGTCGGCGCTGCCGTCCGTCTCGTTTCTGCATAATGCGCCAAGAAAGCGCCGAGACAGGTAGGCAGGTAAGGAACCTAGCTCGAGGTATCTTACACGGTGGTCTATTGGAATACTATCATTGGTGGATTAAGGACCTAGGGGTGGACAGGGTCAGGCAGCCAGTCCAGTCTGATCTGTGGATTGGATTGGCGTCCGTGTATGCATACATGTGCGTGCATATGTAGGTCCTGGTTAGTACTTAGTAGTATGGGTTTTAGGTACTTTGCAGATCCTAACGAGCTAGGGGATCTATTTGGTCTAGGCGAAATCGTCCTGAGGCAACGATTTAATAACCGAACAACGGAGTAAAATTAATGATATTGATAATATTAATGAAGAAGAAAAAAAGGGAGAACCTTAGCTCAGTAATATCTTGGCGTTATTCAGATACCTTGAAATACTGTGGAGATCGGAATGCTTCCATGGACGGAGAGACAGTCACGAGACTGTCCAAGTCGTCGATTCCGCTGCATCTGGAAATGCAAAATGCAACGCCAACTCTGCAACTGTAACGGCTCGGTGAATGCTGTGTCCCCTGCGATAAATCACATGATATAATATACAGGCGAACGAGAAGGGAAATGCAAGTGGGATGTAGTACTGAGTAACTATTCACTCAGTACAGATGTGGCATTCTTGCAAGCATTTAGCTAACCCGATATCTCCCTCACCAGCAGTAATCTGGACCAAAGAATCAAAGATCAAACGTATAAACCATACCCGGGTATCCCAATTCATATGCACGCCCTAGACCCGGGTAATACATCCAACCAATACTCCCAGATATAATAAAATCAACCACCAATTCAGCTAACGAGCTGTTCAGATGTGGGGTATTATAATAGATAGAAATCGCACGAGTGGGAAATAAAAAAAAGTCCAACCATAATCGCTAAGTCATCAAAGTCATAAAATGAAACCGCCATGTCACTAAACAAACACTAGTCGCTGAAGGGAGATGAGGATTAGAAGGTATATAAGATGGGAAGAAAGAAAAAATGGAAGAAGGAAAGGAAAGAAAGAAAGAAAGAAAAGAAAAGAAAACTAAAAAGTAATGGTGAACCTGTCACAATGCTTACGTCCAGAAGCATCGTCCAGCAGATGGGTGAAGATGGGAAAGAAAAACAGCTGCTCAAGGTCATGACTCTCCGTTGCATTGGCATGAAACATAAAGACCAAACTAAGCCCATATGCTAAGTAGCACAAAAGGAGAAGAAGAAAAAAATAAACATAGAACACATGCGCCTGTATAGAAAGATGAGAAGTAAAAAAAAAAAAAGAATCAAAAATGCCTCCTTCTATCATAATGAGAAGGTTCAAATACCCGCCTCCCCCCTTCCGAGCAGGGAGAAACAGAAGAAAACCACCCAGTTTTTTTGGTGAGGTGCTTATTACCAATGGGGATACACAGTCCGGACCATCTCATATACCCCGGTGACTTATGTCCTCCCCAATAGTAGGCGTAAGAGATACATCACCCTGCCAAGTCAACCTCAAGATGGCAAAGGTCATTTGAGGTGGTCGATTCTAGAACCCTTCCTCGCCCGCTTTGCACAGCTTGATCTCGCGAAGCCATTCGGATTTGAGAACCTGCGAGGCGTTGATACGACGGGTAGGATTAGGATCAAGGATGGAGTAAATCACGTTGCGGCAACGGGCCTGACAATTAGCGTTAGCAGAGGCGTCCCACCGCCCACCATGACGAGGAACCCTTACCCGATGCAGGGTCTCAATCGGAGCATATCCATCCTCATGCTTGCGTCCCTCGAGATACTTCTGGTAGAACTCGTCCTCGTTCTTGCGAGCGACGCGCCAGAGGTGGCGTCCGGTCCGCATGGCCATGTAGATGACGCCGGTCGCCCACAGATCGACCGCCCGCGGATCGAATTCCTTCTCCACGTACTCTTCGGGGGAGATATAGGGGGCGGAGCCACAAAGGCCAGCAGTCATGTGCGCCTCCTTCTCCCAGGCCATCCGGAAACACTCGCCGTTCCCGAAATCGGTGATCTTCAGGGCACCATGCGTGGTCAGTAGGAGGTTCTCCGGTTTGAGATCCCGGTGCGCAACACCCATCTCGTGCATGTACTCCACGCCACGCATCAGCTGTTTGAAAAAGCAGTCTGCCTCGGCAACCTCGAGTTTTCCTGCGGCCAGCACAAGGGTGTAGAGGTCACCGCCTGCACAGTACTCCATGACCTCACAGTAGTCGCCCTTGGCGTCCTGCAGAAGGTCTAGCGTGTGGATGACGTTGGGATGGCGAAGGGATGACGAGATACAGAATTCGGACGTCAACCGCTTCTGGTATTTTTTGGAGGTTTCCTGTGGGCGACGGCGGAACTCCTTGACCGCGTACAACTGTTCCGCCTTGGAGTCTTTGGGGTCGACTTTGTGGGATATCCGGACGATACCGAAGGCACCCCGCCCCACGATTTCCTGGCATTTGCCATACTTATCGACCAGGGACGCCGTGGCATTCGGTCCGCCCTTCTTATCGGCGGCGAGTTTGTCGCGTTCCGTCTTGAATTGGTCGATCCAGGTGGACATGAGTGACAGTTGCTGATCTTCCACATGGTCATCCTTCTTCCTTCCACCGCCGAGCATGTCTCGAAGCAGGTCGGTCAGCTTCTCTTGGCGGCGAGCACTCCTCAGGTGATGACAATGCGAGTGGCTTTCGGACAGCACCTCGAATCGCTTGCTTAGCGGCACGCCCTCCTTTGGCTCCTTGTTGCTGGCGGGCTTGGGCCTCTTCTCATTCTCCTCTTTCATAGAGGCTTGACGGGACGGGGCCCGGGACGGCGGCTTAGATGACGGTTTGGATGACGGGCGAGAGGTCGGTTTGGACTGTTTCGTAATACTGCCATTGGTGGGCAGCTTGACACTGTCGGTGCTGCTGTCGGAGAGTTCTCTCGGAGTTTCCAGCTCCCTGGGAGTGGTCTTCCCGGTGCTGCTGAACATACGCGAGATGCGATTCACCATGGTTGGCCTGGTGGGTGGCTTGGTCGACGGAGGAGGCACGGGGACGGCCTCCCCGTTGGCAGCGGACAGGTTCATGCCCGCAACAGCACGTGTTACCTCACAGTCTCCATCTCGATGGTCGGGGAATATCTGAGATGTGGTTGCGGAGGAGACAGCGGAAGGTACAGGTGAAGGGGATAGTGGAGTCATGTGCGATAATCCGATGGGATGGAGTCTTAAGAACAAGAGGACGGAATTCGCCCCCCGTGATGATAAAGGGAGAAAGACCAGTGCCTACAGCACGAGGCTGGTAAGGCCACGAAGGATATAGCTCACGAAGTAGATGAACGGACAGAAGATGAGTGGGAAGGAAGGAGGAAACAAAAAAAAAGAAGGGAAAAAGGCAGAAAAAGAGGGAGGCGAGTGGACAGGGCCCTAAAAAAATTGGCTCCGGTAGCGGGTGGTAATGTGGTGTGCGGCCTGAGGCAAGTACCCAGTGTATGGAGAGTACAGTACAGGCAGAACAGGTGACTTGATGTGACGACACACTGATCAGCGGAGTCAACCAGGGGAGATTGAAGATCAAATAAGCAAAAGCTGCAACGAGAGAAAAAAAGAATTATATAAAAAAAGAGTGCCGAGCAACAAGGCACGGAATGCCCAGAGATGATGGTATTACACAGGGTACCACAAGATGAAATGGGCTATGCAAACCGTTTGTATTCCACGGTATATGGGAAAGAGGCGAGGTAAGGAACAAGGTAATAGGTAGTAAGTGATAGGTAATAAGAAGGGAGAGAGGCCACTAAGGGATTTTTTTGTTTGGTATGGAGAAAGAAAAGAAGCTGCCTACCCGGGGAGGGGGAGAGGGCAGAGGTTGAAATAGGGAAATATTTGGCTAGTTGAGTAGGTAAGAATGATTGAGGAATAGGTAGGAATGACAACGATGCGAGTCACCGCAGTAAAATAAAATAGAATGACATGAAACGATCAATAATAACACAGCAATTGATGGGAAGTAGTATATAGAAGAGTAATCGTTCCAGTATTTTGTAGTAAGAGTAAGACGGTAGTCTGGACGGAATGAAATACCTCGTTGAAGTATGGACGAACAGGCTAAGAGAGAAGTACTCATGACAAGCTCCAGAGTATATTGTTAGCGGTGGATTGTCTGGGCATCTGCAAAGGGGGTCTTTTCTTTTTCTTTTTTCTTTTTTCTTTTTTTCTTTATTTTTCCAGTTTTATTATTTCTCTTTTTTAGTTCATTTTTTCATGATTCGATTTTATTTTTACTAATTTAATAATTGGATTTTCTAATTATTACAATTCTACTGCCGAGGGTGCAGAAAAGACAGACAGGAAAGTGGTATTTTCTGGTCATTTTTCCATGATTACTGGGACTACTATCATTATTACAAATATTATAAAAGTGGGTACAGCTCTGGATTTTCAAGCCGCACAAGTCAGAAGTTCTGCTTGTTACCAGATGGAAGCACAGGATGGACCTGTAGAGGATCTTAATCTTTTATATTTCTCAAGTTTCAGTCCTCTTATTCATAAATCAAAAAAGTAAGATAAACAAAGAATATCTTTCTACATTAGATTTTCAACTTTCAATGAAGGAATTCTACTCTTTCATCGTTCATCTTCAATTGAAAAAAAATACACTCGAGCAATGAATGATCTGGGCTCGTTGACCTCCTTGTCGGCCTGAGGTTTGGTAATGTCTTGTCAGCCATACGGTATCATACGCTTGCAGCCACACATCTCTTCGATTAGTCAGCTGTAATCCACTTGCCCACCGAGTGCACCAGAGAAAACCTTCCGAATGTCACACAATATTGATATCCCTTGGGTTTTTTTTTCTTTTTACTTTCTTGTTCTTTGATCTTTTCTCCAGCTTATCACGAGGCAGATACTTTCTGTTTCTCGATGTCTTATCTGTGATTGACCTGCAATGCAATGTCTCCATAGTCCATACCCAAGTCCAATATAAGAAAGAACATCAATCTCATGCTGTACCGGCTTAATCTATCTGCGGTTTCTATAAATCGTGGTAATATTACATCCGTAATACGGACCAGAGTGGCGCGAGACTTTTTCTCTCCTATGGTGGACACTGAGCGGCCGTCACAAGATCTTCCGACTCTCTCCCCTCTTTGCCTTCTTTTGGTCTCCTTGAACTTATCTATAATTGGAAGACTCCGCCATCCAACCAGGGTCTCCAGAATGGTTCTCTTTCTTCGGAAAATTGTCAGGTCATGTAAGTCGGTATTATTTGTTCGGAAAATCCATGGGAACAAGCAGCTAGAAACAACTGGGTCTGTTTCCGCATCGGATTGTCCGTCTTTGCTTTGTTGGCCAGAGAAATACATCGCCTGCGGGTTTACTTTTCCCTGCTTGCTCTGCCTTATCCCAATTGAGACGATTGGCCCCCTCTTTCGCTCCTCCAGGAGTGGAGGAAAACGCAAGTCGGATGACGTTCATTTCCGTCCAGTCTCCAGCGGAGAGATTGGTGCCCCACGTCTAGTTGCTCTGTCTCGCAGTCTTCAAGAGAAAGAGGGGACCAAGAAAAAAGGTGACGTTGGTCCGTTTTGTTCCAATCGAGTAGCCATGTCCGTGCCGAGGTGGCGCGTAGTATTAGTCACTCGCCTGGTCTCCTCAAATGCCCGTCAAGTTCACAGTCCAGTGCTAGTCAGAGTCCAGTCAAGCCTGGTTATTGAGGCTGTGCAAGCATCTGCATGGATCATCTGCGCTGTCCCGCGTATCATCGAGCAGTGTGCGCCGATGGCTTGGGTGGCTCGACCCAGGGAATGCTAGTATTGACCGTCCAATACCTCCATACCTCCTCCCGGATGTAGCTACTACGGACGAGGACAAAAATCACCCGTTGGAGACTTCTGCTGCTCCCCACTATTCAAGGCCCCTCCCCCACCTCCCCTCATCTCCAATCCTTTTCCATCACGATGATATCCTAAGTATACGAGGGGTAAATGACAGACCTGTGATATTCGCTATTCCCCCCGGCAGGCGGACCAGGGAGTAGCCCGCTCGGGGAGGGGGACGTTGGCTTCCCGCCTACCGCTAAGTAGTAGGAGGGGTTTTTCATCTCCTATCATCTTTCAGGGATCAACTGGTTGGGAAAACACCCTTTCCAGCTCCATTGACATTGACCCGTTAGTGTCGACTCGTCGTTTGATGATTCGATCGTGAATTGCCACGATAATAATCGTTCCAGCCAGTTCGGGCTACCAATTCAAAGTGATGGATCATCTGGCTGTCTTCGTCAACATCTATCTTACCAAGCGAATAGCAACTACTCTACTGATTCCTTTACATAGTAGTTCCAAGTACCAGGGCCTGAAACATGCATCGCGCCACGGAGGAGTCCTCCCCGTCAAAACCGGAAAGCTCTCTGCAGTAGTATAAGAAATGACAGCCACTTCGCATGCTCTCCTCGCAGACAGGCTAGGAGCCGATGTGACTTCGCGTGCGCGCGCCCTATCATCCGGTCACGAACTAAGTTGGGAGTACTGTCTTGCGGTCAATCAAAGCCCCGAATGTAGTAACTTTGACTCAGGTTATGCACCCTGCTTATTTTGGGATTGCCGTTCTGGGGATCAACGTGGAGCCGCCCGGGTGGCAGAGAGCACAGCAGTTGCCTCTTGAGCCCTGACTGGATGTGAGGACACGATATCGGACTGCAGATGGCAAGACAGATCCTTTCTATTTTTTATCGATTTTTCATTGATTTTCCCATTATGTTTTTCCCATCCTTCCCAATCGGCAATGTCCAGAGGATCGAGTCCCATCACCTGGACGAGGGGTTCACCCGTGATGTTCGCAAGTGGCATATGACGTAATTTTGGTTGCTCACCTACCTATCCCGTATCACTAGTAGTCCAACTCGATACTCCTCAATCTCTCGAACGTTAGGAGCTGTGGACAAAAGCAAAAGAACAGCTCCGAGTTTAATTGCTAAACCCTGCGTTGATTGTGGAGATCTTGCAACGATTCAGATTCTGGCTGGTAACATGATGTAGTGGTCTCTTGAAGTTATGATTTCTATTCCATTCAAACAAGAATAAATACTATGATAATTCTCCCCTGCACCATCCATCCACAACAAACCCAGTCCAAAAAAACCAAAACCAAAGCACGGCCCACACGACGATCGATGAAATACTTACCTACCTACCTAACTAAAGCATGTATGTAGTAGTATGTAAATGTATCCAGTACGGACGACGGGAGTCCTCCTCAGACTAACTTAAATCAAACAAACTGACGTAAAGGGAAAGGTGAAGTCTCCACTCTTTTTAGTGTAGGAAAAAAACATGGCTTATGTTTGTTTTTGCACGAGGGATTTTCCTTTGCCAATCGTTGACCAGCGACGCGTTCGACATTCGGAGTGGGGCGTTACCCGCGAGGAAGGATTACTTGGTGCTAGCAGGGGTAGTTAGCATTTATTTCTTTACCTACTTTACTTACCTTACCTAGTAGGTAAGTAAGTACTTTTAGTACCTAAGTACGGAGTACAATGCACCTCCTTCGAAGTACGGAGGAGCTACTAGGTACATCTGTATGCATGTATGTTGCAGTCCGACTATACCAGGTAGGCAGGCAGTAACCGGCTACCTCATCCCCCCACCCACACACCCTCCTCTCCAGTGTATAGTGTCTTTTCTGACCCCCCAGAAAATGAATCGTAAGCTGTGGTTTGTTACCAACTGCAGGTGGACTGTCATGTTTTCTTTTTTCGTTCCCTTCCCCTCTCCATTCTTGGATCCAGTAATGGAGCTACTATGGAGACCAGGACCAGAGAGTTGTGCCCTAAATGGATTAGATAGGTAAAAAGGATTTAAACCCTAGTTCGGTCTGCATAATCTATGTATATCGTCACGGTGGATGGGGTAGCTGGCGGCAAGAATTTGGGGAGGGCGAGAAATGGAGGGAAGAGGAGGGAAGAAAAAGAAATGAGAAGGACAGCTCAAGCTGAGCTCGAGACAAACCTCCCTAATGGCGATTCTATTCCCTGTCGATAACTATGCATGTCCTTTTCGGGCGAACAGATCCCTTTCTGTGGTTGAGGTGAGGTGAAGCTAGTTGACCGCCAGTCAGTCAGTCGCTCATTTCTGCTGAGCTATCAACCTTCCTATCTTTATTCTTTTACTATCATCCTATCTGGTCCTGCTGGTTATGTTGGGAGGAGCAGATAGATGATGGAGGGCTGACACGCAGCCAGCCAGTCCCAACCAACTCATACTGCGATCTTCACAAGTCTGTGCCCCATTGCATATCGCAGTTGAGAGAGATAGACGGAGACGGATTTGAACCCTGCAAAGTTCGCAGTGGTGAACGAACAAGGCTACGACTGACTGACTTCTCACACTGAACGATCGAAAGTACATCGTATACGCTAGGGATGTGAGCCAAGCTCGGCGGTCTGGTGGGTAGGCCTCTCGTCTACCTGCTAGTTATCTAGTACCTGGTATCTACCATCAGGATCTACCAAACACCGAATCCTCGCAACGACGAGGCTTGATACGGATGAACCAGTGAGCTTCAAGTTCAATGTCAATCTATTGGGCAATTTTGTCCCTCACTATGTAGTTTTCCTCTTTCCCTGTTCTTTTTCTTGATTATTCGATTTTTGATTGATTATTCATTTAATATCATTCCAAGACGGTCAATCTCTCCGACTCCGACTCATGAAACCTCCTAAGCAGGGGACCACACACAGTTACCCTACCAAGCTAGTTTGATCCCCGCTCTCTCACCGTTCATTCTGTATTCCACGTTGGAGTTCGGGTAACAAGCAGGACACGGCATACAGCATACAGGATCGGATATTAAAAAAAGGTCCTCCACATCTCCCAACCTACCCACACACACTCCAACCAAGCAAGAAGAAAACCTGTCAAAAGAAACCTCCAACCAATCACATGGAAAAAAAAGACAAGTTCCAACTCGTGGCAAGAAGTCAACTTACCGCAATGATCCACCGTGGGAGAAATTCAAGTTTAGTCATATCTCCATATACCCGATGAAACCATGACGAGCGAATTATTTCCCGGATCTTCCCGTTCAAGCTTCGGCCTATCTATTTGGCCACTGCCCAAACGAGATTAAGCTGCGGTGAATGTCGCTCTTGTCTCGTGTGCGCGGGTGGGTGATGGAGGGGCCATGTGGGGGGTGGGGTTTTGGAAACGGAATGCGACCATGTACCTAGGCTTTCATATTGAGTAGGTATTCACTACCTGGGTAGGTAGGTTGTATCCGTCTGTCCTATGGAAGATGCGATTATCATCGTACATATCGGATGATATGCATGGATAGGATGATCAAGACGCACTGACAACCATGATGCAGTCAACTTCATCCGATCGATCTCTCCAGATAGCTGTTTCAGACTACCTACGCGGGCTAATACAGAATCAGCACCTACCTGACTACCTGGAATGGAAACCTGCAGACTGACCCATGTGGATGTACACTTGTACAGTAAACTACCTACTAAACAGGATGCGTCTCTGCCAGTCATACGGAGTATCTAGGCAACGAGATCCATTGACGGGAGGAGCCTGAGTGCAGGCCTGTCTGCATGGCTTGGTCCACACTTCAGAAAGCTAGGTGAGATCTTCTGCGCTCTGGGTTAGTCTTCGGTTTCTTGCGCTGTGTGTGTGTGTGTGTGGCGTGTGTATTGTGGAAGTAGACTGGGTCCTTGACTCCGTTTTGTTCACCCCACCGCGCCTTTTTTTCTATTGACCAATGTAACTATCCACATCTTGCTACCTTATATACTAGAAGAAGGGGGGGAAGCAGAAAGTCACTGACGATCGCGTTTACAAATGGTATTATTCCATTTTCCATCTTACCAGTCTCTATCTTAAGAACAGAAACATACTACATACCTACTATGTATAGTATATCTTGCATGTGCAAAATAAACTCCACATAAACAACTGCAGGGATAACTATGACTCAATGAGATATCAAGTATCACAGCATATGGAGAAACACCACCAACCAATAACTAAGTATATCCCTTCCAAATATCCCAACCTCACAGCTGTAAAACGACGATAATGCATGCATCAAGCCCAATCAGTCCAGTCTAGTCCAGTAAACCAAATCAAAACACGGTGATAGAAACAATTTCCAACCCAATCGAAACTCTATCTCCACCCCGATGATGATAGTTTGTGATATCTACGTCACTGCATGCGGTCCACTTCCTCCCCCGATCGGAGCTATGCCATGCTGGATCCATGCAAGGAGCTGCTCGTCTACCCGATGGATTGGACTTGCATACCTAGTATATTATATTACACTGTCTGTCTTTGCTGATCTTGGTCTTGTCCGGTCTGGTGTCCAATGCTGGGGGGTGGTGGGGCCCCTCTTTGCTCTGATGGATTGTCCGTCCACGTGCTACCGACAGATGAGATGAGATGAGATGAGATGAGATGAGATGGATGAGGTGAGGTGCTATCGAGTGTGGCACTGTCATGTGGGATGGCTGTAAGGGGGTACTGACTTGCTGCTAGTTTGTGATGTTCATGGACTTTTACTTTTCTATGAACGGGACTTGCTTTCACGGTCATATGGCAGAGGTAGGTGGTTTATGATGTTGTGTTACAGCAGATACATGGTCATAAAGGACTAGCTGCTACTGGAGGTATGTACATCTTTGGATCTTGTTATAGATTAATAGAAACCGTTGATTTTTTCTCCATCCTTTATTATCTTTTAAATATAATTATGACTTGTTATCTCCTTGGTTCTTATAGTAGATATCTATTATCCAGCTTCACCATCTAGCGTCTTTCCGATCATATAGCCAAGTAAGCCATGGAAAAGTAGGTGATAGGGCCATGTGCAGTCGTTTGATGAGGGCAAGACGATACACAACAGAGTCGATTCGTCTAACATCGTTGAGCGCCAGCTCGCGCATGTGTACATCGACGATGGATGCAGGGGTATGGTGTTCGCCATCCGCCGCATCGATAACAAGGGCGGTCTTTCTCCGCAGGGCATTGGCCCGATGTTGTCCTGTAGCCCGGCCCCGCGTGAACTCGGGAGGTTGGAACACCGCGGCGGAGTACAATTTATTCTCAGGAATCCGCTTCTGAGCCATTCGGCGCCGGACAATCTCTCGGCTGTTGATTGTTGGGATGTGGGGAAGCTAAGACCAGACCGAGCGTTTCTCGGGTGGTCCGCTCAAGCTAGGACCCGAGTCTGCTATCACATGAGTGTATAGCACATGATAGCCTGAGGGGGAGACATACCACGAATTGTTCTAGCGATTCCTCAAAAAGCTCATTGTTGACTCCAACGCCGCCCGGATGTTCCGTCGGAGATAACGGATTCTTGACCACTGGAGAACAACCATGTTAGTAGTCGGACGGAAGCGGCTAACATGAGATCCCAACGCACCGTATTCCACAAAAAGGTTGATGTAAATCTGCTGCAGTGCAACCCGCATGCTGGGGCTCTTAAGATCGGTGAGCATGACGAACTTGATGTTCGTCGGGGTTTCGTAATAGTGGAGTTGGTATTGACTGGTGCAATAGGAAACGAAGCTGGTCACAAAGTCAACCACCGGCTCGGTCGCGCGAACGAATGAGGTAAGTCCTCACCTGTCATCCTCGCCCCCCAATTTGCGCACCATGTTCCGCAGCGAGAAGACTGTGCCGAATATCAATTTGGCGTCATCGTCGGTCGTCCGGTCAGACTGGCCGATGGCCGCGGGAAGTCCATTGGTCGGCGCTGGCAACTCAGAATTCGCCCGAGATTTTCCAACGACGGCTGGTCGCGGGAGCCAACGCTTCTTGTAGATACACTCCGCTAGAGCCGCGACAAGACGTTGGTCAGTTATGCGGCGCAGTGGATGTCAGGGGGCGGGAACGGAAGGATTACCATGACGGTCGAAGATGTAAAACGAGTAGACAACCATTGTCAAGGATTCCGATTAGGCTGATAGATCTCAACGACCCTCTATCAAGATGAGAAGCAGACACCGACGAACGAGAACCCCGTGGATCAAGTATCACAAGATAGAGTGGATGAGTGTTGTTGTCAAATTAGACTCTTGAAATTCCCCTAGTTTGGGACAACAAGCATGCGCGTGGGCGGTGAACCGCGGACGGGGCGGCAGATCGCTTATCGATAATGATGGAGTATCATTTGTATCACTTGTATCAATTGTATCAATTTGTATGATTACAACTGTGAGGACTGGTCTGATGATGATAATAACAACGATGATGATGATGATGATGATGATGATGATAAGATGGAACGTAAATATATTATCAGTCTTTGAACATGTATAATTAACTCGACTCGTGTAATCTGACCCTGTGTCGATATAGATTGGGTAATCTCACGGAGTATGGAATTAATTACATACCAACCATGGCTCTTTCCCCACCCGCCGCTCACTCTCACCACGAGTTCCATATTCTCCTCCAAACAACAACTCTATTATTGATCGCTATTTATTTTCTATTTTTACCAACATCCAGAAAAAAACAGAAGACGCCATATCACACCCCTTCCCCCCTTGTTTTATCTTACTGTCTCCTCCATCGTACGAGCTTCTCTTCCTCCCACATCCCCCGCCTTATCGATCGCTGTTGTCACCCAACAACCCCTCCTCTGGCCTCCCCGACTTCCCCACATCTGACTGTAGGCATCCGAGTTCTCGCGCGCAATTCTGTGGTTTCACTAAGGGGCATAACGACAGACAAATACCGCAAGTCGCCTCTTGTTAACCCCCCGGCGCACTGGGCTGCTACTTCATTGGCTTCGAATTTCAATGGCCGCTGAAAATGCCGACTTTCCCTTAAAGGATGCTAGTCGGAAAGCCCAGCGCCCGACCATTCGTCCTGTTCGCTATACGTACGTTCTATTTTCTTATAGCCTGGTCCTTTTTTCTTTGTGTGTTGCTGTCGCGTTGGTCGTGTCGGTCGATCGAATCCGATATCATCCTATTGTCGTACTTAGGGTACGCTTCGCGTCGTGGTCACGGTTTCTGCGGTCATCTATAGTTGATATCTTACCAGAACTGATTGCTAACGTCAAACCTTGTATCTAGATCGACCCCTTCTTCTTCTTTTGAAAGCCCACGGAGACATCATCACCGAAATCCGATAGCCAGGCGCCCAGTCAAGGTTGCTCTCCAGGCATCGCTACTTTCTGCTGCAACCTACTGACCCGCTGGTAACAGGAAACGTTAAACGCTCGCTCCGAGTACAGAACAAGCCAAGACGATGGCACCGCAGAGCACCGAATCAACCAGTATGTGATCAAACAGGAGATCGGACGGGGGTCCTTTGGAGCGGTGCATCTTGCCTCGGATCAGTTCGGGAACGAATTCGTAAGGATTATTTCATGTCACCACCTATGACAGTTCCATCACACGATTGATTGCTGATCGGGCTGTGCGAACACAGGCGGTTAAGGAGTTTTCCAAGTCACGGCTGAGGAAGCGTGCGCAATCCCATCTCTTGCGACGGCCCCGGGGTCCCAAACGTCAAGCCGATGGATTCAATTCCCCACTTCACCGTCGTCCACCGTTGGGGGAGGATCAGAAGGAAAATGCTCTCTACCTGATCAAAGAGGAAATTGCCATCATGAAGAAACTGCACCACAGCAACCTCGTGTCTTTAATAGAGGTGCTAGATGACCCGACGGAGGATTCACTATACATGGTCATGGAGATGTGTAAGAAGGGCGTGGTGATGAAAGTCGGGCTCGAGGAAAGGGCAGATCCCTACGACGATGACTTATGTCGCTGTTGGTTCCGCGATTTGATCCTCGGTATTGAGTACCTCCATGCCCAGGGCATCGTACACCGGGACATCAAACCAGATAATTGCTTAATCACGAATGACGACGTTCTCAAGGTCGTCGACTTTGGCGTGTCCGAGATGTTCGAGAAAGACTCGGATATGTTCACGGCGAAATCAGCTGGCTCCCCTGCCTTCCTTCCCCCAGAGCTATGCGTTGTGAAACACGGTGATGTTTCCGGGAAGGCCGCCGACATTTGGTCTATGGGGGTCACGCTATATTGTCTTCGATATGGCCGTCTGCCGTTCGAAAAGCAAAGCATTTTCGAACTTTACGAAGCCATCAAGAACGACCCAGTTACATGCACAGGGGAGGAAGATGGCGAATTTCAGGACTTGATGGGCCGGATATTGGAGAAAGACCCCGCGAAGAGAATCCCCATGGAAGAATTGCGAGTAAGTGAACATGCTTATTCGGATGGCGATATGTCTCTTACGCAAAGAAAACAGGCGCACCCATGGGTAACAAAAGGTGGCTTGGATCCTCTACTACCGGAAAGCGAAAACACCGCGGAGATTATCGAATTCCCGACTGAAGAGGAGATGGACTCGGCAATCACAAAGACCATTGGCCACGTACTTGCTGTGGTAAGCTTCCTGGCTAGAATCTGGCCTGCATGATATACTAATATAGACTAGATGAAAGCCGTAAAGAAGTTCAAGAAGCTGATTGACCCGACAAAACCGGAATCCCCTATGCAAAGTTTCCTTGGCCAAGGATACGAGTCCAATTTCGTTGCGCCCCCTCTCGAGATGGAATCCGACGAGAGCTTCTCATCCGCCGACTTCCCAGTCCCAAACAAGACCCAGAGCCTAGATGCAGACTACAGAAAGGCATGGGAGCGGGAGAGCGTCAACAAAGGGCATCACCCGCCGCGCGGGTTCTCACCGTCCAACGGACCACCAGATAACATCAACAGACCTGCAGCCAGCTCGAAGCTCGAAAGGAAGGACTCCGGCTCAATACGAAGCTTCAATTTCCGCGGCGACGCCACCGAAGACGCACACAACATCTCCACCCCGCAATCCCCCCAAGTCCCACTCTCCCGCGCCAGCTCAGCAACCACCAAACGCAGCGTCGAAGGAACGCGAGGCCACGCACGGGATCCCCTCGAAGAAGACTTCCCCTTCCTCTTCATCGGCCCCTCCAGCTACACCGGCAACCCGACAGAAGATCCAGCCTCGCCAGAAGCAGCCAACGAATCCATCTCCGAAGAACCGGCCGACAACATGGTATCCGCCGAACCATCCGAAATGATGGACGTAGACCCAATCGTCAGCGAATCCCCCGGCGCCGCCGAATTCGACATCTACGAAACAGCCTACCGCAAAGAAATCGAACGCATCCACGCACGCACATTCCCCCGCGAAGGCACAACCCCCAAGGTCTATCTCACGCGCCGCGTAGACGGCAGAGACGATGTCATGAGGCTTCTTGGCGAGAAGCCTAGCAGCAGCCTCAGCTCTGCCATTGATGCAATGAGAGCTCAGTCGGCGGGGGGAAAGCAGCAACAACATCCGTATTCTTCAAGTTCAACTTCAACACCCATACCGGTCCCCAATCCCACTCCATCGTCTGCGACAGGACCACCACTTCCGGACGAGACTTCGCGCGCTAGATTGCGCTCGTTCTTGGGTCGTGTTAGGGGTAGTCGGGGGCTTTGAACTTGATTTACTTACGGAAGGGAGTATGGTCATAAATCGGTATCTTGGATCTAGAGAATACATTTATAGAAAGCAAGGGAAAGGGAAAGACTTGGTTAATTTGGTTAGCGAAGCATAAGCATAAATAGTATGTACGTGATTGAGGGCTATGGTTTACGCAGAAAGTATATATATATATATATTGTTTGGTATCCCCAAAATACCCCTCATCAACGATCAGCGTTTGTCTGGCATTCTACTCTAGATTGTATTTACCATCATTGATCAGTTCAAGATCTAATATATACCCATCTACACAACCTAACCCTATTTAAAGTTGAGACTCCCAGATCAGTCATAAAACAGAGTATATCCCCCACGATCCACATATCCACTCTACTCTATACTCCAAGCTATCAGAAAACCCAGTTTACTATTCCATTGCATATATTGTTTCTATCAATTAATCAATCATTCATTCAAAGACTCCCTGTACATGGATAGACTTGCGTAAAGATCATTATTGTTTGTACAGATATGTAAGAAAGTGGACATTAAGATGTAATCTTTTCCCGGTGCAGCAGGGAAAAGAGAAGAAAGAAGGAGAGAATAAAACCACGTAGAAGAGGATGATATAAAAAAGCTTGGCGGAAGATAGCGCCATCAAGAAAGAAAGTGAAGTTGACATTGTCAAGGTTCATTCATATTGCTCGTTCAGCTGAAAAAAACAAAGTCTGTAGTAGATATTGGGGGCAAGATCCCCAGATAAAAGCCTCAAATGAAAGAAAGGCGTAATTAGGGAAAGTTCGATCATCGCTATGCAGACGGGATCGTATTCGCGTCAATCAGTTCACGGAATCATCAAGGTTCAGGCCTTTGAAAGAACATGAGAAATTCATTATGCGCAGACCGGGCCAGTCTCTCCGAGGCCCGGATCCAGAAGCCTGCAGGGCGTGTTCTCGCCTGGGACTTCAGGACCAATCAATCAAAATGAAAAGCAGAAGGAAAGGTCGGTGGAAATTAATAAGACTCGACAATCGAGCCACAGAGATTGAATAGAAGCGAGAAATGACAGGCGAAGAAGTAACTGAAGGAAATGCCGTACGGCGGATGTGTCGATCGTAGCTCTCATCAAAACTCGTCTTGGTCTGCATAGAAATTGGGTCTGTATCAAAGCTATCTATCGCTCATAATCGACGATATCGTTCATTCATGGTGTCGCAACGGATATTTAGCAAGTCGAAAGGATGAGAATGGGGCAAAGGAAGAAGGTTCGGGATGTAGACCAGCGTTATTCGGTCCGCTTGTCGAGGGATGGCCCTATCGGCAGCTCCGGCGCCGTGGTGGGAGGGTCATCTGGGCGCCGAGGGGGCGGGTGAATCAGCGTTCTGCGACTGCTGTCTGCGTAAGGTATTCGGTCCGGAAAGAGAGGATCATAGGATCGGTCTCCAGTATCCATTCGCGACAGCGTTTCCCTCCGGCCGAAGTGCAGCGTCTGCGGAGAAGGAAAGCTGTGTCTCATTTCAGCCGGTCGTGGTAGTTCTCGCATGACCGACCCCATCTCCGGGTTTGGTAACTCTCGGGCTCGATCGTCGTCGCTGGGCCCCATTGGTGCTATCCGCCTTGCCGGCAGCGGTGCGTAACGCAGTTCGGGCTGTGGGACGCTGGGAGGTCGACTGCTGGCGCTGGGCGGTAATGAACCGCTCAGCGGCTCGACGGCAGATGGGCTAGTCGGAGTCGATGGAACTTTGATTTTGTGGGAATTTGATCGTCTCGGGGGCGGGTATGGTTCTCCGAGAGCTTCGGCCACCGCTTTACGTCGTTGAGACTCGGCTTTGCTGGGCCGACCTCGTTTTCGCGGTGGCTCATTTCGCGCGGTTCCGCTCTCTGAGCCCGGTGAGATGAGAGCCGGGAAGTTACCCTCGTTGCCAAAAGGAGGGGCGCTGGTCGTTGGGCGGGGTTGGATTGCACGCGGCGCGAGGATCGGTTTATCTGATGGCAGGATCGGACGCTTTCGAGGGTTGATGCTGTCCAGCGGAGCTGCTGGCGGTGCGGACGACTCGTGCCGTGGAGGAGGACAAGGTGCGTAGTTTTGGGGGACCGGTGCTTGGACGTGTTGGCACATGCCCTGGAAGGCCCACTGACACGAATTCAGAGAACGCCCTGAACGCCGTGGAGATTAGCGCAGTTCGGCGTTGGTCGGTTTCAAGGGCGTAAAGAAAGAGAAAAGGGAGATGAAAAGACAAGGAAAAGAAAAAAAAAGGGCCTGAATCAGGGTCGAGCGAGAGTCTCAGTCGCATGGAGTCGGGCTGCGAGCGGTACTTCACAGCACAAGCAGCAGAAGCGAGGGGAATTGTACCTGCAGGAAGTGGGATATCCGCCCAACTTGGAGTGATATGAAAGTCCCGGATGAGTTTAACCAGATGAGCCGAAGGGACTTGGGCCTTCTTCAAAATCTCGGTGAGTAGAGTGTACTAGATGTTGTCCCGATTAGTTACATTGTCACCTGGCCCATGCGTACACCGCACGACCACCCCGACAGCCCTATTCTGGGCAGGCTGGCTGGTCCATGGACACATGGGAAAAACAGAGGCGGGGAAGAGATGGGAGCACTGTGGCAGCCGTACCTTCTCCTCCTCGGTCCAGGGCCGTTCTGGTAGATTCGACATATCCAGGGGACCATGGAAGCAGCACTGGCGAGCTTCCCTCCTCGGTAAACGATTCAACAAACGAGCCCAGAGCGAATCATGCGCGAGCGAACCCAGTAGGAGAACAGATATAGAAAGACGCGTCGCGCGACTACGGGCAGTACAAGAATACAACAAGCCCAACAAACGCCCCAACAGGAGACAAGAGCCAAGAAAGAAGAATGAAGAACAGATCAGACACAAAACAGCAAAAACAGAACGTTACCACAAAGCCTCCCAAACGGAACAATGCGTCTACACCAGTGTATAAACACGTGGTTGTTCAGACAGGAAACAGAAAGTGGACTAATGGCGCAACAAGGGAAGATCAAAGAGTATTGGCAGTACGAGGAATCGAGGGCAGTCGAAGTAGAGGGGGGGGGGAGGGTTAAGGCACATGGAATAAACAGCAGACATTGAAGATTGGACCAACGCTCATTGAAATGAAATTCATAAGAGACCGTAAACGACGCACCACGGGTGACAGCGAGGAAAGAAATAGCGAGAGAAGTGGGGATCCTGTAGAGAGAGGGAGGGAGAAAGAGAGAGAGCGAGCGCGAGAGACGATAAGTCGACAAGTACTTCTATGCTTGCATCGAATGCCGCGGGTCAACGCGTGTGGGGGGGGGGAGTGGGAATGACTTGAGATTCGGGGAAACTCAAATCAAAATAAAAGAAGAAAAACCAATCAAGACACGCAAGAAAAACAAAATAATTGAAAGAAAGATTAGAGAAGGCAAATCAAAATAGAGAGAGAGAGAGAGAGAAAATAGATGGATAAAAAGAGGGAAGAGAAAGAATGAATATGACAGAGGGGGAATCAAGAGATGTGGAGGGAGATCCTGACGGGGCCGGAGATCGAATGGATTCCTGGAACAAACAGGTTCAATGATACATATTGTCATCAATCGTCAAAAAGGATAGGGAGTCAAGCATCGACGAAAAGGGCTCAAAGGGGAAAAGTCCACAGAAGCGTGAGAAGAGGGAACCGATGCAGTCGGCACGTAACACTCTATCTCTCTCAGGAGCTTTTTCTAGCCAAACGGACTTTAAATTCGGAATTGCGCAGGGCAGACGCCGCGGGCATGCGTCTGGGTAGGTGGTCAGAGGAAAGCTGCAGGGACTCTGGTCACCTCGGCTCTGGTCCAGCTCTTGTTTTTTATTTTATTTTACTTTCCCTTTTTTTCGGGGGAGGCTCGATCTTTCCGTTCTTTCCCCAAGCTGTCTGTTTCTGCGGTCTCCCAGTTGCGCGCCAGTTGAAATCCCTTGGGAAAGGTACAAGGAGCACGAGAGATTAACCCTAAGAAAAAGCCAAGGGACAGGGGGAAAGGACTAAAAAAATAACAACAATAATAATAAATGAATAAGAATAATAACGATGGGACAATTGACGATGGGACCAACCAGCCCAGGTGGGATTAGTGGGAGTAGTACACAGGGCAAGGAAGATGTTTCAAAACCAATGGTTTCAGATGATTTTCAGCGTCCAAACACCTTGTTGGAGCGGGAGGGGAAGGGCGAGGGTCAGGGAGAGGGAATCGGAGGGGGGTGGGGAATAAAACAAAAATAATCAAGATAAAATAAAGAATAAATCAAAAAGAAATCAAATTGCAAAAATTGGGAAATTAAAAATGGGAATAAAAAAATCAAAAAGGGCAGAAGGATCGCAGGTGCACAAACAACACACTCACAGAAAAGAGGGGCGCATTAGTTTGTGAATTCCCCGAACAAGGGCTAGAAACTAGAAAGAGACCAGGAGGGGCGCGAACATGGAGAGGAAAAGGCTAGGATGTACAATGCTGGAAAGGATGGAATAGCCTGGATGGGTCTAGAGAGCATGGGGGAGGTGGGCGATTAAACCATAATAACAGCAACAACGATAATAGGCAGTAGCTAAAATCCCAGACTGACGGTGACAGATACTTGAATCAACCTGACAGATAGGTGAAGAATTGATATAACAGCGATGGCTTCCACTGCACTTTTTAACCCACTATATAGAGAAGGACTGTCGTCAGAAGGATCCAAAACAATATAAGAAAAGTGGGGAGGAAAAGAATGAGAAAATGGATGCATGTGCTCGTCAGATTATGGACTAATCAAAAATAGTAAAAACTAAAGCAAAGAAGATAACATGCGGATAAAGAGAGAAACGAGAAGGGGAAAAAATAAATAGAGATCTGGCAATAATACCATTAGGGGACGCGACAAACGGGACACAGACAGTGAGAGAAAGGACTCAGGTACCTCGAACTCGCCGCCTGCGTCTGCTCCGGTTCGCGCGTCCATACGCAGCATCAGGCAGACCCTCTTTCGCGGAAAGCGGCGGATGCGATAGGTAGGTTGGGAGCATCATGGGTGATAGGCGCTGTTTGATAGGTGAACGCGGACGCCCCAAGACATTGGATCAATGGACTAGTCCGCGATAATTAATCATGTTGCGCCAGACGGGACGAAGCTTTCGAAGTGAAAGCGAAGTGATCGGGGCTAGCTCCCGGAAGAAGGAAGTAGCGAGGTCGATCCCATGCCGGTGGCAGGTCCTCATTTCTGTGCGGTTAGAAACCGTCCATGGACTCCGTTGAGCGCCGTACATTGGGCCCGTTGATGATAGCGGCAATGCATCGAGCAATGACAGGCAGACGGAATGGTAGCAGCGGAGGTGGATGATAACCGCAAAGTGGGGACCAGGGCTCCGCAATAGACGCAGACCAAAGCAAAATCCTGGAGGCTGGGTCAATGGGACGGGTCCCGTTCATTAGCATTAGTTTGGAAAGCAATGGAACGACGCTTTTGCAAGGGTACCACCACAGGGGACCGGCCTGATTTCTCTGGCCAGAACGGGTTTTGGCCGTGGCGAAAAGCCATCTGTCTCCGTTTTCCTTTCCCTGCAAATTGGGATGGGGAAAAGAAAAGAAAAAGAAGAAAAAGAAGAAATGAAGACGGAAGGGCCGTTGGATAGATCCAGAATGAGGGATGAAGCAGGGAACGGATATTGGATGACCACCATTTGGAGTAGAGTCGGAAAATGGAGACAAAATTCATAATAATAGTGATCACAAATTGCTTCACAAACCTCTCTCATCACAGCATCTTTTTATCTTGTGTCCCTTTTCTTTTCTTTTCCTTTTTTTTTTTCTTTTTCTTTTTCTTTTTTTTTTTTTCCATTTTACCTTTGATTTTTCACCTTTCAACATAATTTTTTTATTTATTTATTTTTCGTTCAACCCTCCGCTATCCCCCTTGAGCCCTCGGGAAGGAAGAAGGAAGATACTAACCAGTGCCTAGCAGTAGGGGGTGGAAAGCGTAGCCACTCAACAAGTAGATTCTTCACCCCACAAGGCAGCGCGCTTGAGAGACACCAAGATGTCGGTGGTCTCGATAGGCGTAGCGCAGGACTAGACTGCGTTGCCGCTGATTTTCATTTGACGGGTCGAGAATCGAGTGGTGGACAGGTATTATTAGCAACGGGGAGCAGCGAGTAATCAGCGGCGTAGGAATTGATCGAAAAAGAATGGTCCATGCACGAGAACCATCGGGCTGCAGGAGAGATGCAGCGCCCCGCCGATTTGAATCAACCGTCCGAGTATAGCGGCAGATTTAGTCTTGGGGGGGGAAATCAGGAGTCTGACATGGGTTGCAGTGGTCTTTTCTGACAGAGCTAGGAATCCCAACCAGCAGACACATATTGTGAGTAGAGACAGAAATGACTTTGTCCTGATCATTGTGAACCCGATAGGAATGAAGAAGAGACCAGGGGAAGAAGAGATGGAAGTGAGAGTTCATCCAGGGAAGGGGAAAGGAGAATCCACCGGAAGATAGTTGATTCTTGGCAGGTCTAGGTTGATCATAGTGCGGAATGAGGTAAGCCAGACAAGGTACCTGGTAGGAGGACAGAGAACAGGAAGTACCAGGTACTTTACTCTACTGTCTACTATACCTACCACCGAAGTACCAGTGACTTTGGCAGACGACAGAAGATCTAGATGCCCCACCTCTCAGGTACCCGGCACGCTTGTACTTTCCGACCCATGGTACGGTATTACCCGGTACGTGGATATGGAGAGTCTTCAGGAACAATTCAATTGATTTATCTAGAATGATGCTGTAGAATAATCAAGATGATGTGGTAATAGAGTGAGATGGATAGAGATGTTGAGAACAGGAGGATATGTCATTCTTCCAGGCATTGACAGTTGGAAGGCTTTAGTTACTCCATTCATGCCCCACTTCTCTTATTTATTTATGTTATTGTTTCTTATTATGGTTGATTTATTTCCTTCAGACAAAGTCCATGTGCCTCAATTCCCCACCGAGTCGCGTTCTTCCTCCTCGCTGGCAACTATATGCCCTCCATTTTAGTATTTCTCTTCTGTCTCTTGTAGAATACCCACCGCAGTCAAATATCGTCGCACTGTCCATTTAAATGGCGATCGACGTATGGACGATGGAATGATTTACCCGACAACGTATCCTCTCCATTAGCCAGATGAACCCTGAACATGAACAGCAAGGCGCTCGATGCAACGCCTGTTCGCGAGCAAGGTCTGATGTCCATTGGCCCAGTCCATGGCCAGTCCATGCTCCGTGTGGCCGATCTTCTTTATCGGTTGAAAATCGATGGTGCACCTGTCCATCGGCAGCACCACCAGTATGGGGCAAGAAAACTATCCAGCACTATGCATGGAATCACCAATATAGGTACAGACACCTAGGTACTCCGTACCACTTGAAAGACCCCTGATCGTTATGGTCTGGCGATGCGTATTGGTCACTAGGTCGGATTCGCATCTGCAGCTGCAGCTTCCAACCCAAATACGAACCGTCGCGTCCAATCGTTACCCGCCTCCTCCTCCGAAACATCCCCGTTTCGAACAACGGTGGAAAACTCCGAGTTTGACACGACATTATTATGTTTTTTTTTTTTTTTTCTTTGGTGGACAGTAGTCCTGCGGCCCTGGTTCCTGACGCGTTTCATCATACTTGATGCGCATCATCGGATCCCCATCATCCTCATCATCCCGGCTCTGTCCGTGAACTACTGCTACTCAAGGCAAGGTCTTTAAGTTCGGATTATCCGACTGGAGTCTCGTGGCCAATGATCTCGTATCAGAGTAGCTCACCTTCTTGGAATTGGTTGGAAAGCAACGTTCCATGCGGCTGATGTATGTATGCTCCATATCCTTCAGCTCAAAGGAGTACCACCTCTCTCTTTTACTCGACCTTTGATGGCTTGGGACACCGGAACACGGGTCCGAGCTAGATCAAGGTCCTGCAGATTTGTTGTCGATTTCGAATCTGGCTTCGGTGTAACTACTTCTGTCCCCCTTTTTTTGCCTCTCTGTCCTTTCCTTGGGGTTTCTTTTTCCTTTTCTTCTTTTCCTTTCACATTTTGATTTCTTTGTTCGTGTCTTAAATTATATTGCCTTTCAAGTACCTTCTGCCGCCATTTCGGTGTACTGTTCTGGATTGACTCTTACCGGGACAGAACACCCCCGAGTTCGGTCCGGCAAAATCGAGTCGAACAGAGCCGAATGCGACTCTCACCTTACCAAAGACAAAGACCATCCCAATCATCGGGTTCATTACTGCAGTGGCAATGCTGACAGTTTGTATACCACAGTCACGTTCGCCGTTGTGTCAGCACGCTCGAAGCCATGGTAAATAAGGCCTACCCCAATCTGGGGGAAAAAGCAAAGCATACAGCTTGACTACAGAGCGTACGAGGCTGAGAAAACTTGGGACTTCCACAATGGGCCAATCCCCTGGTCACTGCAAGATGCTCAATTTGGACAATGTGGATCTTGCTGGGTATCAGCAGAACCTCACTTGATCAGGGAGGAGATGGTGTTCAATCTCCCTTGTCTGTGCCCGCTGCGTCTGATGTATTGCTGTTTCCAAGTCATGACTGACAATAGGATTGGAGTGAATTAGCATTGACAGGAACAATGGATGTTAGACCGATAGCTAGAGATTTCGCGAATGAATTGCCAAATGAATGTGACCACGGTCACAGTCTCAAACAACAGATGAATGAATCACTTCTGGGAAGTCCTCATCCTATTGAGAAGAAAATAAGAATAATATTGTATATCAAATGCTATAAAAGACCCCAGTTGAGAGAGAACAGGCTGACTAGACGCCCTCTCGATGCATTTCTTGGCGCCCGCGCGGGAAAAAAAAAAGGTGACTTGATTGAACCAAAAATGGTTCTCCGGTATCCCAAGCCTCACGTTCCCCAATTCCGACCTCGCCTCTCTCCTCTCTCCTCCTCTCCTATCCCTCCTTTTCTCCTCCCTCCTCCCCTTCCCTCTCTCCATCTCGACCTATCTTCTCCAACCCGCTTTCACCACCCATCCAACCTCACCCTATCCACGCCCTGAACGCCTCGCCACGTCACACAACGCGCGCAACGCCCTCCCCCATCGGCGCATTGTCCCTCCTCCCACTGGTCCCTCGATAGTTCGTGTGCGCGCGCGCTGTCCGTGTCGTCATGTCCCCTCATGACCGCGCGGACCGTCAGTCAGAATCCGTCGTCGCCGACGCGGTAACCGCGATGAAGCTGGACCCCAACAAAGACACTCCTCCCGCCGGGGATCAGCCGTCTCTCGGCACCACCAATGGAGGAGGTTCCGCGTTGCCCGACGACAGCGATGGGGCCTTCTCCCCCGCCCGCTCCCAGCATCCCGACGAGCGCAACAACGTGTCCCTGTCGCCCGGTAAATCGCGATCTGCGTCTCGGCCGTCCCCTGTTAAGAAGGAAGAAGAAGAGGAGGAGAAGGTGAAAGACGAGCTAGACAGCGATCACCGTGTGGATAGCGATGGCGATGGCGACGACGATGGCGAGGAAGAGAAGGTCGGCGGCGACATCACCGTTAAGCTGGAACCTGGGCAACCTCCCAAGTTGACCCGCAGTTCTTCGCAGAAGGTGGTGCCGCGACCGCCGCAGCTCTTCACGGACCTTCCGGACAGCACCGCCGAGGCGAAGTCGACTTTTAGCATGATGGATATGTGCACCTACGCCAATAAATACATGGGATATACGGAACATGCGATGGAATGTGATTGTGCTGAGGAATGGGGTAAGTGGTTCGAAGATCTGGTCTATCCCAGCCCCATGATATTACCCCCCCTTTTCGTGCGTGTCGTTGTATTTGTATGCCAGGTGGTGATGGTGCCCCACCTCAGCTTGTTCCACTCTACATCTAAGACTTCCACGCACATTGTTCATCTTGCCAAATATCTTGATCAACAAATGCTAATAAAACGCAGAACCCTCCATCGGGAAAAATCTCGCATGCGGCGAGGATTCCGATTGTATCAACCGCGCAACCAAGATCGAATGCATGGGCGACTGCGGATGCGGGCCAGAATGCCAAAACCAACGGTTCCAGCGAGCGGAATACGCCCCAGTGGCAGTGATCAAGACAGAGAAGAAGGGCTTCGGGCTGCGTGCCGAAGCCGATCTGCGATCGCACCAGTTTATTTTCGAGTACGTGGGCGAGGTCATCAACGAGGGCCAATTCCGACGGCGAATGAGGCAGTACGATGAAGAGGGTATCAAGCACTTCTACTTCATGTCCCTCAGTAAGGGCGAATTCGTGGACGCGACCAAGAGGGGCAACCTCGGCCGATTCTGCAATCACTCGTGCAATCCGAACTGCTACGTCGACAAGTGGGTCGTGGGGGAGAAGCTTCGGATGGGCATCTTCGCCGAGCGCGACATCCAAGCCGGCGAGGAACTCGTGTTCAACTACAACGTTGACCGCTACGGGGCCGACCCCCAACCGTGCTACTGCGCAGAGCCAAACTGCACGGGCTTCATCGGTGGCAGGACACAGACCGAGCGCGCGACCAAGCTCCCCAACGCCACCATCGAAGCCCTGGGCATCAGCGACGCTGACGGCTGGGACACGGCGGTGGCGAGGCGACCCCGCAAGAAGAAGACCGGCGAAGACGACGAGGAATACGTGGACAGCGTGCAACCCAAGTCTTTGGAAGAGAACGGCGTCACGAAAGTGATGGCAGCTCTCATGCAATGCAAAGAGAAATGGATCGCCGTCAAGCTTCTGGGCCGTATCCAGCGATGCGACGACGAGCGCGTCCGCAACCGCGTGGTCAAAATGCACGGGTACCAGATCCTCAACTCGCAGCTGGCCATGTG